GAGTCCTCCAAGCCTGCCGTTCGCGAGGGCTTCATGTCGCTCTTCATCTTCTTGCCCGTCTGCTTCGGAAACAGTTTCGCCAACTACTTGGCCAAGATCATTCCTCCCATTCTGTCTGGTCTTGCTGATGATGTCGAGACTATCAGAGAGACTGCTCTCCGTGCTGGTCGTCTCTTGGTCAAGAACTTTGCCGTCAGAGCCGTCGATCTGTTGCTGCCCGAGCTCGAGCGTGGTCTTGCTGACGACAGCTACCGCATTCGTCTCAGCTCCGTCGAGCTCGTTGGTGATCTGTTGTTCAACCTTACCGGTGTCAAGGTCAGCGATGGCGAAGATGAGGAAGAGGATATCGAGACTGTCAAGGAGGCCGGTGCTTCTCTCCGCGAGATCCTCGGAGAGGAGAAGCGCAACAAGGTCCTGTCCTCGCTCTACATCTGCCGCTGCGATACCTCGGGTGCCGTCCGCTCCGCTGCTGTCAGCGTGTGGAAGGCACTTGTTCACAGCCCTCGCATTCTCAAGGAGCTTGTGCCTACTCTTACTCAGCTCATTATCCGTCGTCTCGGCAGCTCCAACATGGAGCACAAGATTATTGCCAGCAACGCTTTGGGCGAGCTTATAAGGAAGGCTGGCGATGGCGTTCTGGCTACTCTCTTGCCCACTCTCGAGGAGGGTCTCCAGACCTCCAGCGATGTCGATGCCAGACAGGGTATCTGCCTTGCCCTCAAGGAGCTCATCGCTTCCGCCTCTCCCGAGGCCCTCGAGGACCACGAGAAGACTCTCATCTCCGTTGTGCGTACCGCGCTTACCGACCGCGACGAAGACGTCAGAGAGGCCGCCGCCGAGGCGTTCGATTCCTTGCAGCAGATTCTCGGCAAGCGTGCTGTGGAAGAGGTTATGCCCTTCCTTCTCACCCTCCTCGCCAATGAGGACGAGGCTGAGAACGCTCTTGCGGCTTTGCTCACCTTGCTCACCGAGACTACTCGCTCCAACATGATTCTGCCCAACCTCATCCCCAGTCTCATCAAGCCTCCTATTTCTTCCTTCAACGCCAAGGCTCTGGCTTCATTGTCCAAGGTTGCCGGCGCGGCTATGAACCGTCGCCTGCCTAGCATTATCAACTCGCTTATGGATAACATTATCAACTCTACTGATGATACCCTCCGTGAGGAGCTTGATGACTCGTTCGACACTGTCATCCTGTCCATTGACGAGTACGACGGTCTCAACATGGTTATGCAGACCTTGCTGCAGCTTCTCAAGCACGACGATCACCGCAGAAGGGCGTCTACTGCTTTCCACTTGGCCAAGTTCTTTGCTTCGGCCGATGTGGACTACTCGCGCTACAACCAGGACATCATCCGCTCTCTCCTGCTCTCGTTTGACGACAGAGATATGGACGTGGTCAAATCTGCCTGGAGCGCTCTTAGCGAGTTCACCAAGAAGCTCAAGAAGGAGGAGATGGAGAACCTGGTCATCTCTACTCGCCAGACTCTCCTCCAGGTCGGCATTGCCGGCGTCAACCTGCGCGGCTTCGAGCTGCCCAAGGGCATCAACGCCATCCTCCCGATTTTCCTGCAGGGTCTTATGAACGGCTCCGCAGACCAGAGGGTGGCTTCGGCCCTTGCCATCTCGGACATTGTCGACCGCACCAGCGAGGCCTCGCTCAAGCCGTTCGTCACGCAGATCACCGGTCCGCTCATCCGTGTCGTCTCCGAGCGCTCCACCGAGGTCAAGTCCGCCATCTTGCTTACCCTCAACAACCTGCTCGAGAAAATGCCCACGGCGCTCAAGCCCTTCCTTCCCCAGCTGCAGCGCACCTTCGCCAAGTCCCTCGCCGACACCTCCAGCGACGTGCTCCGCAGCCGCGCCGCCAAGGCCCTCGGCACCCTCATCAAGTTCACCCCCCGCGTGGACCCGCTCATCGCCGAGCTCGTCACGGGCTCCAAGACGAGCGACACGGGCGTCAAGACGGCCATGCTCAAGGCCCTGTACGAGGTCATCAGCAAGGCCGGCGCCAACATGGGCGAGAGCTCTCGTGCTGCTGTTCTCGGTCTTATCGATACCGAGACCACGGACGAGCGCGACGATACCATGACCATCACCTACGCCAAGCTGTTTGGTGCTCTTGTCAAGAACGTCTCCGATGAGGTGGCTACCCAGCTGCTCAAGAACAGGGTCCTGACTAGAGACTTTAGCAACTCGAGTGTTCTTGCGTTGAATGCGGTCCTGCTAGAGAGCCCCGAGGCGCTGTTGGAGTCGCAGTTGGTGGAGGACGTGCCGGAGGTGCTGTGTCAGGGTATGGCGAGCAAGAATGTGAGTCTTTCTTTCCTTCCCTCGTTTCTTTCCTCGTTTCTTTCCACTTACTTTCCCCTCTCCCTCCGTACAACTCCGAACATAAGGTAGCTAACCTCAATTTCCCACAGCCCTTCATAACAGAAAACTTCATCCTCGCAACCGGCAAATTCCTCCTTTCCCCCCTTCCCTCTTCTTCTTCTGCCTTCGCAACCGCCAAATCCTTCGAAGCAACCAAACCCCTCTTCACCACCATCGCCACCCTGATCCCTCCGGGCCAACCCGTCGATTCGCGCCGTCTCGCCCTGGTCCTCGTGCGCACCCTCGCCCGCACAAACCCGGACCTTGTCCGTCCCCACCTGTCGCTGCTCGCCCCGCCCGTGTTCGCCTCCGTCCGCGACATGGTCATCCCCGTCAAGCTCGCGGCCGAAGCGGCCTTTGTGCAGCTGTTCGCGGTGGCTGATGAGGAAGGCAAGGTGTTTGATAAGTACATGGAGGCACAAGGTGCCGAGATGCCGCCGAATGTCAAGAGGAGTATGCAGGATTACTTTAAGCGCGTGGCGCTACGCTTGGGCGCGCAGATCCGCGAGAGGAGAGAGGCGGAGGGTGGAGCGGGTGGTCTGGGACTGAGTAATGATGAGGCGGAGGATGAGAAGGAACTGATGAGTGTGGGAAGGGTGGATGTCGCCGGGGGGCAGGGGGGGAGTGAGATGTTTGATTAGTTGAGGGTGGTTGTAGGATGGAAGATGGGGATAGATAGAAAGAAGAAGAAGGAGAAGAAAAATGAGGAGAGAGCAGGAGATGTAAAAATCGAAGGAGAAGAGAAGGATATAAATGAGGAAGGAAGGGGAGAGAGATGGAAAGGAGAAGGCGAAAAGGAGTGGATGGGTGTTTAAAAGTAAAAAGTGTTTTTGTACAGTGCAGAAACGATCTAATAGAGCTGCGAATAAGCGGTATGATGAATGTTTTTCGCGTATTGGTTGGTTGGTTGATGCGTTGATCATATTGGTGTCTAAGGGGCGGTGGAGGATGCTTTTAAGGGTACCCCTGAGCGAAGCGAAATGGCGGAAGCCAACCAAATAGAATAGACCCTGACGATCTCTGAGGAGCTTGCACATAAAGAGGTATCTTGTCTCTTGGACAGTTGGAATAGAACGTTTATTTTTACCTTTAATGCAATGATTTAGAACTAATGTCTCGGTCCGATCTCAGAGAGCTGGGTTTCAGAGATCTAGGCATGACACCAATGATAGATATCGTAAATGTTCAATAATTGAAAACATGTGCAAGCCAACAACGATCTTCGTCGAACCAAAGCACAAATGATACCGGCACGAACATCATTGACATGGACCGAAAGATTGCTCATAACATGGAAGCTCTCAAGTACATACGTACTTAACCTCATCCCTTAATTTCATTTTCATTTTCATTTTCATTTTCATTTTCATTTTATTTCGTCATCTTTTGGTCATCTTTGACTTCCTTGGGTAAGGTAAGGTACTTCTAGCCAGGCTCGATGAAGCCATGGTACTTCATACTTTGTAGTTCGTACATATAATTACCTCTTTCTCTTCTCTTCTCTCTGTTTCTCTTCTGAATACCTCTAGCTTTTCGTGCTCCTGTCCGTCCTTCACGTTCAGCTGTTACATCTTCTACCACTATGTACCACCTCTTATTATACAGTAGGTAGGTAAGGTCTAGTACCGTACCTTGACGTTTTCGTTTTGACTTATATCGATCAAATCAATCAACCTTGCTTGCCCTTCCTGTGTCTTTACCTCCTCGGACGCCGTATATCTCATCCAAAGCGAGATCGAGTCTTTGACGTTTCGATTCATTGTCCTCGCAAGAACAATGGGAATTATACAGGACTGGCCTACATTTGTACATCCCGTAAAACTTTGACATTGGTATTGTGGATCGATGGCCGAGTGACGAAGCAAAGAACATCTACAGCTGAGGTCTCAAAACCAATTGTGTATTTTGTTTGTGTATCCGCATGATTTGGAGTGCAGTTCTTCTAGTTGAGATTGAGCGGCCTGAAAGTTCTGAGAGTTCTTTTAAAGTTTGAAGATGTGAACTGTAAAATGTTCCTTGACGATTATTGTAACAGATTCTTCCTTCATGACCTTCCGCCACACTTCAAGCATCATCAAGTTGGCAAGCAGAGTTGTGTTGAGTTATGAAACCATAAACCATTTTGATATATAAAAGCAAACAAACAACTGACGCCGTACGTAACCCGTAATGTTAAAGTGAAAGGCCGCGCAGCTAACAACAACACATATATACAAATACATCCATCCGTCCAATCCATTCCGCTCCATCATGGAGATGTTAGTCCCGTTTCCAGATAACCGCGTAGACAAAGTAAAGAAAAAACATAACAAAGGCGGGAGTGACTGTTAAACTCACTCTGCCCCAACTCTTCCAACACTCCTTTTATGCTCGTCTCTTCTTGTTCTCGCCTTCGCCTCGGCCTAACCTTGGCCTTGGCCTGCCTGTGAACCTCTTGCTCCTGACCCAGACGAAGAGGCAGAACCAGAAGCCTCAATACCGCTTCCCATCAACTCAATAAGCGATGGTTGCGGCTTCCTAGTATTCCTTCCGCCATTTCGGCTTCCAAATCCAATCCCATTACCACCACTTCCCTCATTCCACTTCGGCGTCACCATTTGCACCTCCCCCGAAAACGACCCGTCAACACCCTAAGACGACTGGTCCCAAGGGCAAGGATACGTACCCACCCAGCTCTCCACCTCGCTCCTAAGCTGGACAATCTCTGGGTCTGTCTCGCCATTACCCAAGTACTCCATAAAAGTCTTGATGCGGTTGGCCGCCTTCTCGTTGCCCTTCTTGATGGCATCCTCCTTCGCCGCCTTGTTGATGCGCACAGCAATGGTCACAGCGCGATCGATAATATCCGCTACACGCGCAAAGTCCTCCTCATTGAAACCGCGGGTGGTCATGGCGGGGGTGCCGATGCGCAAGCCACCGGGGGTAAGAGCGGACTTGTCGCCTGGCACGGTGTTCTTATTGGAGGCTACGCCTACGAGTTCGAGCACGCGCTCGACGCGGGAGCCGTCGATGCCTTGGGGCTTGAGGTCAATCAGAACCAAGTGATTGTCGGTGCCTCCCGAAACGATGGTGTAGCCGAGGCCGTTCTTCTCCTTGGGTTCACCGAGGCGGGTGGCGAGGGCCTTGGCGTTGGCGAGGACTTGGCTCTGGTAGGCGCGGAACTCGGGGGTCTGAGCCTGCTTAAGCGCGACGGCCAGGGCGGCAATGGTGTGGTTGTGGGGACCGCCCTGGTGGCCGGGGAAGACGGAGGCGTTGATGGGGGTCTCGAGGTTGTACATCTCCTGCTCGCCCTTCTTGTTGGTGCGACGGACGCCGCGGCGGAAGAAGATCATGGCGCCGCGAGGGCCGCGGAGGGACTTGTGGCTGGTGGTGGTAACGATGTCGGCGTGGGTGAAGGGGCCGGGGAGGACCTTAGCGGCGACGAGACCCGAAATATGGGCCATATCGGCCATGAGGTAGGCGTTGACCTTATCACAGATCTCGCGGAGACGGGCGTAGTCGATCAAACGGCTGTAGGCGGAGGCGCCGGCAACAATGATCTTGGGGCGGTAGGTGATGGCCAGCTCCTCGAGTTTGTTGTAGTCGATGTAGCCAGTCTTCTCATCGAGACGGTAGGGGAGGGTCTCAAAGTACTTGGAAATGAAGGAGATCTTCTTGGTGGGTGTCTGGTAACCGTGCGAAAGATGGCCGCCGTGGGGGAGATCGAGGCCCATCAAGCGGTCGTGGGTATCCATGAGGGCCGAGTAGACGTAGAGGTTCGCAGGGGCACCGGAGAGGGCTGGACAGGCTTCATGTTAGCCCGGCGCATTTCTGTGGGAAGCTGTAGAGATACTCACCCTGTACGTTGACACCCCATTCCTTAGCATCCAAACCGAAGGTCTCGAGGGCTCTGTCCTGGCATAACCTCTCGGAGGCATCGATGAACTCGTTACCGCCGTAATAACGGGCTCCAGGATAGCCTTCAGAGTACTTGTCTTTTTTGTTCAAATGTCAGTTCCTGGTCTCCATGTTCCCATCTTCTCTCTCTCTATTTCGAACGTACTCTGCATGGGGCTTCCTAGAGCATCGAGGACGGCCTGGGATGTGAAGTTCTCGGAAGGAATAAGGTTGATGAACTGCTTCTGTCTCTGCTTCTCCTACATGGCCAAACAAGATGGTGTTAGTTCCCATTACATGCGACAGACAGACAATTGCTTCAGGAAGTAGAGTCGCGAACCTTTTCGATAATATCATACATGACAGGATCGGCCGTCTGCAAGTGGGAAGCGAGCAACTGCGGGCACTTCAAGTTAGCGACATCATCACCATAACACACCACCACCACTTCTGGAAGCGCACCTTTTGCTGGTTGTCATTGGCGATAGACGACGAGGCGAACCTTCTCCAGGTCTTGGGCGCCAACCCCGCGCTCCTCTGTCCTTGCAACTGTATCCGGGAAGCAGAAGTGGCGGCGCGGCATGTTGTCGAGGTCAGAGTCGCGGCGGAAGTGGTAGAAGCGGCGGCAGCCCGGCGGGCGCAGGCGCGCACAGCAGCTGTGCTCTGGAAGCTCGACATGACGTGTGTTGTTGGCGAACTTTTTTACTGGAATTGTTTTTGTTGTTGTTGACTGAAATGGTTAGAAAAGGGAAATGCCAGACAATATGTTACTACGGGTAGATAGTAGTCACTGGCTGGTGGATAGATACGGCTATGGATATGGGACGACAAGATACGGTACGGGCACGGCAACGGGATCGGCAACGACGAGAAGAGAATGACGGATGGGAAAGTTACCCTGCAACTACCATACTGACACAGCCAATCCAATCCACTGTAACAGACAAGACCCGAGCCCGAGGATAAGACGGCTCTTTGCTTGGATCTTCCCTTTTTCTTTTCTCAAGCAGATGACTCCCAATGTCCCCAAAGGAAGGAAAGAGTTATGTAATTAGTCCCCGGTGTTAGTCAAGTCATTACCCGGGGTTGGTGATGGTCCATGTTGTTTGTATTTCAGCTACCCTTCATAATTGCTTCAAGCTCTCTCTCGTTGTTAGCAATAGTACGATTTAGCACCACTACCATCTTCTAACTTGACCTCCCAAAAGACAGCCGTGATCTCGTACCACAAGTTCACAACTCCCCTCAATCTCGGGGAGGTTGGACTTTCCACATGAACAACGGCAACCGAACCGGCCATAGTTACGGGTCACTACCCCACCAACACATGACAATGGCTCACAAACCCGGCTGTTGATGGCCAGGTTCCCCGAACTCTTGCCAATCCATCACAGCGCAGCGGCTAACATCTCTCATACTGTTCTAACACCATTCTCCTACATCACTCCCCAAAATCTGTTAAGGTCACATCATCCCCACCTCCGACCTCCGATCTAGTCCGACCTTCCCCAAACTGCTCTGGAGCCTCTGGGGCGCTCTTGCCTCGCTCCCCCGTTCACACAAGCATTGACCAGCAAACCCTTGCCCCAAGTTTTAGTCTTTCTAACCAATCACAGCCCGTCATCTTTTCAATTTCCAACCCCACAGAAAGCGTTCGTCCCCCTCCTTGCTGCGTGTCCTCCCCCTCTTGCCTCCCCGCCGTCCCTCTGCTGCCTCTCCCTCATAAAACCCCGTGCCCCTGTCCCAGCTTTTGCTCTTTTTTTTCTCTTCTTTTTTTCTTCAATCAACTAAACTGGGTATGATGAGCCCGCTAAACGCCAGCTTTGTTCTTCCAGTGTTCTTCGGGACGCTCTTAGGCGAGACGATAGCTGAAATGTCCTGGCACACCACTCACCACTCTGAGAGGGACAATTTGAGGAAATCTCTGACCCAACACAAATGAGTTTCTGTTGATGCACGATTCGTAGCAAACGATCGTTTTATACAGGTCTGGGGACTTGTTCTTTTATGCTTTAGATAGTTGCTTTGTGTTGGCGTTGATGAGGCTAGGACAGGAGTGACGACGGGATGGTAGTGATGATGGAGGCTGCTCATGAGGGGCATCCGGTAGAGTCACTCGGAGAGGAGTTGGCATGTTTATGATGTTGACATGCTGGAGAGTTGAGACATGTTGTGGGCTTGCTCTCCACGTCTTCTACGCTACGTTGTGATGATGTGTTGACCGTTGAACGTTGACTGTCTGGTCGTGACAACGAGGTGCGAAGCGGAGCGCGATTTTTCTGGTGTTGATGACCTCCTACTCCACATATCCTCCGTCGATCACGTTTGATGGGCGATGCGGTTCTCTCCCGTGCCATCGGCAGTTCGATGACGATGCCGTCCTCATTTCAGACTTCATGTCAGTGCTTCCTGGGCGTGGTCAACAGATCAAGATTCGAGGTCACGGTGAGAGAACGATTTCCCAGGGAGGTTGGCGACGTGTTCTTGCCCAGACACGAAATTACATCACCACATGCAAGCACTTAAATCGCGAAAATGTTCATATCATGGTCGATGAAGAAGACGTGAATTGGTATCATAGTTAAAGAGTCAAGCACGCACTGCAGAAAGAAACATTCTGGGAAAACAGCAGCTTGTGCTCAACAACGACGTAATCGCATTGTCTCCTTGCATCCCGTCCCTTTCGACTTCTTGTCCCGACCGACACGCGAGTTGTGTCGGCGATCAAGAGCCTCAATGATATCTTTGCTCGGAAGCGCCAACTGAATCTTGGTCCTTCGACTGACATTCCCTTGTCGCCCATGCCAGACGGTACATTGCAAAACGCCCACAGCCATCATCCTTTTGCTGTCGCCGGTGTAGTAGATATCACCAACAGTACCCCTCGTCAAGTGAAAGCACCATCAACTAGGGAAACCCGGACGACCAGAAGCGGATATCCACGCGTAGATTTTGGAGATGTAGAGAGAATTGCGACCAGAAAAAGAAGCCCAACCGATTACTCCGAATGCAAGGCCGCCAATATGTCCGTCTTCTTCCATTCACGTCATCATCCCAGTAATCTACTTGGACTCCTCCTCCTCGCCGGTGAGAGCGTTGCGCTTGGCAGCCTGGCGCTCGAGCTTGCGCTCGCGAGCAGCCTTGGTGCGGGCACGCTTGGCGTCCATCTCCTCCTTGATAGCCTTCTCGCGAGCCTTCTCGGCCTTGGCACGGTGAATCTGTAGTAACGACGTCAATATCCATCCTCCAACTGTCTTCCTCCGCTCGGGTTTTGGGTATACGTACGTGCTCAACGAGGGCACGCTTGTGCTTGAAGGTGTTACCCTTGGCGAGGTGGTAAAGCTCGTGGTAGAGGTGCTTGTCGATCTTGCCGGAAGCACGGTACTTCACGAGAAGACGGCGGAGGACCCTCTGGCGACGCATCCACAAAACCTGCCTGTAATCGTAGAAATCCCTCCGTCAGCAAAGACCATTCCCCATGAAATGTTGTCGCTCCAAGACATTTGCCACCCCCTCCTTGACTCCTCAATCATGTCCTCCACCAGGCCCAAGCGTAGCCTCCCATAATAACTCGTCCCATGCGATGATGATGACCCTCCTCTTGCTAAATGTCTTGGTCGTAGTGATTTGTTCGGGTTGTACGTACTCGGGCATGCGGGCATCGGCGGTACCCTTGCGCTTACCGAAGCCGCGGTGACGGCCAATGCGGCGGGCAAGGTTGAGCTCACGCGCGCGGGAGCGCGAGTGCATGGTGACGGGCTTCTTGATGATGAGGCCATCGGCAACGAGCTTGCGGATCGTCTGGCGAGAGTTGGCGTTGCTGATCTCGGAGACCTCATTGGGGTCGAGCCAGATCTTGCGCTGGCCGACGCCCAAGACGGAGGACGCGAGCCGCTTCTGGGTCCTCAGGTTAACCCTGAAAGGCGCGGAAAAAAAAAAAGTCAGCCAAACTGCATCTTGGGAAATGTCCGAATTCTGTTGATCGTGTCGCTTTGTCGATTTTGATGGCGCGGTGTTGTGGTGATTGATGCGTGATGATGATGGGTGACGGTGGTGATGATGACTTCTAGCCGGGAACAAGCAGTTTTGGCGATTCTGACGAAAACGACAAAGAACCACCCTTGTGTTTATTTGCTGAGCGCTTCATTTGAAGTTCCTCTCCCTCAGAATCGCCAAAATGCTCGTTCCCGCGGCCATTTCTCTCATTTCGCGAACGAATGGGACGGCATGACGATGCTACTCACATCTTGACGGATTTCTGCGTGGATGGTCGGGTCTGGTTGACGATGGATTGAAATTTCCACGGGCTGAGGGGGAAGGTCGGAATCTCTAGAATTTCTCACACCAGCAGTTTGTGGGTTTCGCCGGGTGGGACCCAGCGAGCCTGCCATTGGCGAGGGTTAGTGAGGGCTGTCACGGGGTGGGTCACGTGCACGGACTCAGCCAGCAGCAGCAGCCGCCAGCGGGAACCGCAATTGCCATTCACTTCATCAACACCCAAACACCATTCCGTTCTGTCCACTCTTACCACCTGGTGTCTTCACTTCGCCCAGGTTTTGCCTCGTGCCTTCCTCTTACAGTCAAATTAGGTCGGCAGCGTTGCCGGTGTCCGTGCCAACCAATTTCCGAGTTTCGTGACGGTACTTTGCCGGTCCACCATGTGGCAAGATCAATAGCGCTGTGCACGCCGTTAGCAAATGTCGCAGCACTTCTCAGCACTTGCTGTTAGCAGACTGCACGCATGTTCCGTTCCCGTTCTGGCACTTACACGACACTCACGATCACGAAGATGACCACGACCAATGGAAGTGGGGTTCATGAAATGATCACCTAATGACTCCTCAAGTGCCAGTTGTTAACTGGCTTGTAATGGCTTGTCCAGTAACCCTTATTTCCGTCTTCTTTGCCGACGATGTGCACGAGGAACAACACCGCACCAACTTCACGATGATTCATGATGGTTCACAATGATATATGGCTGATGAGCAGAGTAAACCAAAAGGACGTCCCTGGTAATCCTATGGCTGCATCAACTGAAGGTGCATTCTTGAGATTCCCAGCCACGTCACAATCATTCTCCTAAATAAAGAGGTGTCTTAGTTCGTCGACGAAGATCGAATTGCAAAGACTTGCCCTTTGCTACATCCCTCTCCGCCTCTCCCCGTCGATATGTACAAGAACTGAAGCAGAAAGGCCTAGAAGGAAAGGTCTCAACAGAAACACTTAGGGACAGACCTACCAGGATCTCGGAATCTCTACTAAGTAAATACGAGCCCAGTCACAAACTATCCAATATGTGTTAAAGTATGTATGGTTTAGGTAAAAGTCCAACATAACTGCTGGACACAGAAACAGGCATCCGAAGCACACGCGGTTCCCCTCCTGTCCTTCTTACAACAACAAAAACATATTGCGTTGCGCTGATACAGGCCAAGTATGAAGCATCACCCTATGAGCCTTTGTGATACTCCCGAAGACGCCACGAGAATGAAACCAAACATTGGAACAGTCCAAGACACCTGACCTATCTCGCTTTGGCCATGTACCTAGGTACGAAAGGCCGTCGCAAAAGATATTATACCTACCTTAGGTAGAGACCACAATGAGGTGGTGAGAACACATCGCGGCCAGAGTTCCTTACATCTAGGGACGGGGCTTCTATTTTCAGGAACTAGGCTTTACTAAGTACCTTGTAGCTGTACATACCCAAACTTGGCTTATCAGAGAGGAATGAAAGGGCTGTTCAAATGTCGTGCGAATGTGCGCCCAAAGTGTGTTACTGTAGAATAGTGACCGGGGCGTGTTCGGTTTACTTTCACGACCGCTCGACTGACTACCTAGGAACACCTTAATGGCCAAGCACCTTTTGTCCGCTTTGATTGTTACCGGGAAGACGAGCATCAGTTTATTGATAATCACAAGTAATTGACCTGTAACGAAGGGAACCACAGAGGGCAAAGGTATCGAGAAACTACCTCAAGAAATGCTGAGAGCGTCCTCAACTTCGAGGTAAGCCCGTTGTTACATCGTATTCTTCTGCCCAGGCCGAAACAGCAGGAAATAAGACTCTTTACGTGATCGTTTGACACTCTCCAAGCTAATTCCAGTTCAGTAGGTAGTATACTATACCGCTCGTTACCATGTGTGCTTCATACTGGACCCGGTATCTACCTACCTTGACTGCTCCCACACTACTAAGAACGCGAAATACGATAATTTCCGTGATCTGTTGTTTACCTTATCCCGGAATCTATCCATCCACATAAAGTCCACGAGACTTCGAGATAGCTTCACACTCTTACCGCTATGGACCAATAAATTTATGATTTGAATGTGCATGTGATGGTCAATAGCGCATGTATTGATCAACGCATAGTGCGGTGAACACAGAGTGACGAAGTTAATGGTTGAAATATGAAGTAAAGACGACGGGTATAATTTTCCCAATAATCACCACTATGTCATTTATCCAGAGATACTCGCTTTCCCTAGATGTCCTCGACTTCCCCTCTGATCGCCTCGCTGGGTTGGCTGCTTCGACCATCTCTTACTTCTCCTCGCCATCCTTCCTAGCAACATCCCTTGCCACCTTCTCCTTCTTCGCATCGGTATCACCCTCATCCCGAATAGCAGCGGCGCTCTTCTTACCTGCACTCATTTTTTCTTCCTCGCCTACACTTGCCGTTTTTTTTTCCCCCCTCGACAGCCTCCTTTTCCTTCTCCACAACCGTCTCCCCTGAAACGCTTCCACTTGCATTGACCTCCTGTTTACCAACCGAAACCACATCCTTCCCAGCATCAAAAGCAGCAGCAGCAACAGTGGCAGCATGATCCTTCTCCTCAGCAGCCTCAGCAGCGACACTAGCACGCCTTTCCTTACCGTCACCAGAGACGGGAACAGCCGGGCCAGCACTGCCACCCAGCACCTTGGCAACAGCACTCCTTTGCTTGAAAGCCCTGTAGTATTTGACAAGGTATCCCTCCCCGAAAAATAGGACGTTTTCGTCACCGCCTACGTAGGTGACTATCTCATGGAGAGCGGGCCATAAGGCGTAGTCAGCTGGCGAAGGAACCTCGCCGCCGCAGATGTAGAAGGATGGCAGTTGGCTGGTTGCGGTTGTGTCTGTTTGTTTCTTATCATCCTGCGCAGTGTCTTTGAGTTGTTGCTGATGCTTCTCTTCAGGTGCTTCCGGCGCAGTTGCTTTGCTGTCCGTGGCGTTCGTGGTTGTGGTCGTCGCCGCGACAGCATGAGCAGCCTCCTGTGCATATTCCTCCCAGTGCTTCAGCGTCTTCTCACAAAGTGCTTGCTTGACTTCCTCCGTGTTCATGCCCGCCGACCTATTAAGCAGCCAGTTCCAAGCCTGCCACAACTCGTCTGCCTGGTCCAGCCTCGCAAACCTCTTGGCCACTTGGGCCGGGATCATCTGATCATACCTTCTACCCGCCCCGTACACAGCGTCCAAATATCTCAGGATGTTGACGTCCCCAATTACTTCCGTCCGCGCCGGATCATTATCAATGAACTTGACTCCGACCTTAACCTTCTTTCCTTCAGCTTGCTGCTCGTCCTCGCCTGAGCCACCCGAACTAGAAGCGTCAATAGCACCCTTGGCAACTCCAATCCCCATATCCGCCAGCGCCAGCGCCACCCTCGTGTTCTCCACCGTGCACGCCCTTCCCTTGACGCTGCCCGCGAAGAACCTCTTCGGGCTGCCCATATGTAAAACATTGAAGCCCGCTCCATAGTTCTTCTCCCAATCAAACTCTGAGGAATGGTTCTCGTGCCCGAAAGCCTGCAGCATCCTAACCGCCTCGTCCGTTTGACCGTTCACTACCAGCTGAGCTTCGTCCTTGGTTTTGCCTACGGCGCCCTGACCCCAGATTTTAGTCTGGGTAGAGTCCAGGAAGGTGCCGATTTGTCGGAAGGTCAGGCTGATGCGCGCGCCCGAGTAGGCTAGTTCGGAAGAGGACTTGTCACGGTCAGAGCGCTTGTCGGGACGGATGGCGTGTAGCCAGCGCATGTTGGTTTGGAGACCCATGCGGAGGAGGGAGTTGTGCGGAAGAGGGGCGCGCTGAATTTGGCGTTTGGCCTTTTCTTCTGCCGATGTCAGGGAGGTTGAAGGTGTCTTGGTCTCAGTCGTTGCTTCGTCCTTCTTGTTCTTGTCCTTGGGTGGTCGCTTGGTGCGAAGGACCATGGTTCGTTCAGCTCCGAGACTGACATTGGCGATATAACTCCCGCGGACAATGTCCAAGGTCTTGTCGCTGTGCTCGCTGATGTAGTCATTGCTATTGCGGTAGTGCTGGATGAGGACGTGGTTGAGTGGATGGCCGAGGTGCTTTTCGATCTCCTTCTTGATAGAAAGGACGGTGGTAGAGAAAGGGAGGAGCGGCGGTGACTCGTCTGCTGGATGACGGTATACTGGCATGTTTCCTTCGTCGTCGATGGCACCCTGGACGGCGATGCGTCGTGGGACTTCACCGCCCAAATGGGACATGCCAGCCCAGCTGACCTCTTCCAAGAGGCGTTCAAAGGCATCGGCAGCGAGATCGGACGAAAGAGCATTGGTGATGACACGAGTGTCCCCCTCACAGAGAGGTTCAGACACAGCGGGCTTCTGATGATCTTCCATGGTGTTTGATGACGTCTTTGTAGGAGTTTCTGCAGAGTCGGTAGACGACCGTGGGCTGTTGGGATCTGGCTGGTTTGTTGTTGTAGAGTTTGACGGGGTATCCTTGGTTGGTTCCTGCGCTTCGGCCGAGATCCGATCTTTGATGTTCTTCTGGGCTTGGGACGACGAGCTTGATGATGAGCTCTTTGAGGTTTTGTTGCGTCGGAATTTGGGCTTAACGGCTACTCTTGTACGCTCTGAAGACGGGGAGGGGCTGACACCATCGATCCCTTCTGCGTCGAGTAAGCCCGAGGAGCTAGATGGCGATTGGCTAACTCGTCCTACGTTTCGACGCTTGATGGCTAACAACTCTGACTCAATGTTGTCAATTTCATCCTCGGAAGCAACTTCCAAGGGCGCAAGACCGTCGATCAAGCGATTCGATAGATCTCCACGGGTTACCATGGGCTGTGTAAGAGGTACATTAGCGTTACTGGGGGCTTGGCAATCTTGTGGCGCGGCAGAGCTGCCTGATCTTGTGGTCTTTGGCTCGACCGGAGAAATATCACTGCGCTCTATTGACACCTTGGCCATTGTTGGTGAAAGGCCTGTAGACTGACTTGTAGCAGCCTCTGGAATAACGGGCGAAATTCTACCTCCGTCTTTATCGTTATCTGCCTTTCCGGGCTTCGTGACGTCTCGGCTTCCACTCGATGGTTTTTTCACATGCCCGGGCTTCGCCAGATGTTTGGGCTGAGCACGCTGTAACTTCTCAATGAGAGCTGGGGAGTCCAGGAGATCGCAACCTGTGAGCTTCTCTAGTTGACGGATGGAATTTGCGTGTCGCCCGAATGACCGGTAGCCGCAGCAATCCTCCACGATTGTGATGTCGTAGCCATGTTTTCCGGCTTCCAAGGCGGTCGCAAAGACGCCCACATTGGTAAGGGAACCACAGACGTACATCTCCGTTACAAATCGCATTCTCAGCTGTAGAACAAGTTGTGATTGACCCGGAGGAAATGCGCTGTAGTGTGATTTGGTGGTTACGAAGTCGCGACCACATATGATAGAGTCCTGAATCTTGGGCGGAAAATCGGCTCCTGAAGTGCCCTTCCGGACGCAGCTCGGTTTGTCAACACCGTCCACGACGGTCAAGAACGCCTCGTCGAATTCCATGAGCGTTTCGTCGTGCTCTTTGGAGTTGGCCCGCCTTCCTCGAGAAGGCCGTATTGACAGATCGGATAATACAATGGTGTCTCCCTCGGTAGCCAGGGGGCGATGCTGTTCGAACTCGCTTCGAACCCATACGACATCGCCGGCACCGGAATCACGGAAGACCTTTACCAGTTCCAGAATGCGATCGACAAAATTGTCTGGTTCGTTCACGGGCAAAGCACCATCGGGAGATACGAAATCGTTCTGAAGGTCGACGACTATGAGTGCTTTTCTGGTCGGAACGGCGGGCATTGCCGCGGCGCTGATGGGAAACATGGCGGTAGGACGTGTATGCTTTTGCGGTTGCTATTTGGCGATATTCGATGTATAGAGGATATATGATGATAGGTAGTTGATATTCGTCTAAATCTTTGGGGGATGTCAGCAACGAACCAGGGTCCGATGTCAGCGTGGATGCCGTGGCCCGGGAGGCACGGAATGATGGGACGCCAGCGAGATGAGAAACATACAATCATTGTCATGTTTTCAGGATCTAGGAATGCCTGTGGGCTGAAAAGATATAGCCAGTGCTGACCAGCTGTTCCGGACAAGCCCACGGGTTGCTGTTGATATAGCTGTAAGGCAGATCGTTGGATTATAAGATGACTGCTGTTGTTCCACCACATGAGTGGTGCTGAATACTGATAGTTGGACTCGGCCGAGTGAAGAGTGTCAGGTGTTGATAGCCTATACAAGATGAATTCGGGAATGTCGGAAGCGCATAGGTGGATAGGTAAATGGGTGATGCGCGTAGGTGATGGGGATGAAGAGGAGATATGTGAGGTGAGTTGTTGAAAGTGGGTAGAGAGAGGTAAGAGGTAACGGATCGCCCCGAACAAGGATGAAAACTTAATCGCCGGTTATCCACATCCGGGCCGTCACCACCCACGAACGACCACATGGCCGGCCGGGGAGGACGGAAGAGGGAGAGCCGTAGAACGGTGGAGAGAGGCTGAAGTAAAATGTACCCAGAAATTTTGACAACTGGTCATAAACTCCAGAGTATCGTGATGACAGAAGCAAACATCAAGAGAGAGGGAAATGTACACTTGTAAGATTCTCAGGCATCATGGGGCATGACTTGATGGTTTGCCCAACACTTGTTGCGCGAACATCGGAATAGGGACATTCAGCTGGAGATGTGTGTGTTGATGGGTGGGTAACAACTGAAGTCAAAGATGGACTTGACTCTTTTTTTTTCTTCGCTCTCTCATGCCAAGAGCAAGAATGCGAGACAGCGTGACGAAACTAGCCTCTCTGGTTGGACAGCTTTCTCCAAAAAAAGATAGTGTCCTGCAGTGACGGGAATCAGAGTGAGGAAGGTGTGTGACTTCTTTGCACTTTGGCTTTGAAACTCAGCTCCGAAGACAAGACGGATGGGAAAGAAGAGAGAAAAAAAGGATGAGGTGTTGATGCGGGGTCCTGTCAGGTACGTACCATGACCGCTGACGAGCAGGTGCCTTGCACCAGGGGTCGGGGAGCACTTGCCGGACCGGGATGGGCCATTTTGGTTGCAGTTTCGAAGCAGTCTGCAGGGCTGGCGCCAGGGCGATTGGGCGGCGCGGAGCTGCCCTGTGTGGGTTGTGGAGAGCTTTGAAGGCTTCGAGGACTCGGTGGTGGGGAAGAACCATCGTGGAAGAATGCTATTTTGAAGGAACAACGTCCGTCGACCAATCCACTCCTTCCATTGCTCGGGCATCATCCGAGAGAAGTGACCTCGAGGACGGGAGGTGAGTTGGAATGTGATGGTGAAACATCCAAGGTGTTTGAAGTCCGTCTTGCATGCACTGCACTCACTATCACAATTCACGCCTCCTCAGTTCAGTTTTCGAGTTCATGACTTCAAGATACTCATCAATCCCATCTCCACCTCCGCACTCAAAGCAAATAGCTTCATCTTCTGCGTGTCTCTCTTAAACCCTCCCCTCTTTCCTCTGGATTTCCTCTGGCGCCCTGTGACCAATATCCTATGCAGAGGCGAACCAACTGAGCAATCAACCGACACCGCCATCGGCAAGTTCCGTTTGACTACAACCATATGCATACCAAAGTCCTACGACATCTCGTCACGAATCTTCGGCGCACAATGCAACAAGGGGAAAAGTTATCTGAGATGGCTAGCTGTGATTGTTGGGCTATCTGTGAGTGACGAACTCTCGTGACCACGCCAGTGATCCTTCAGGAACCCTGCCCAAACTTGAGACACGCTTGGGAACCGCGGCTATATCCTCCAATCGCTTCAGCAAGGGTACCGCGGAGGAAGTAAGCCATCCAGATGGCATATCGAGCAGGACAAATACTCTGGGAATGAACAGAACGCAGCAGGAGACACATGGCTCGAATTGGGCCAAGTCGTAACTTCAAGAGGCTTGTTACCACAAAGCTGGTCTAGCCTCTCACACCAGTATCATAACATGGGCGTCAACTATCCCCCAAGCCAACATCAGTTGCCGGCCATATCACCTACGGACGACCCGCCCCTGTTCCCGGTGGCCTTCCATCCATCTCGCCCCTGTCTAGCTGACAACACCCTTTCCCGCCGCTCTTCTCAGCATCAAGCGCCAAATGGTTCTAGAAGGCGAGACACAGAAGTACAAAGGTGGCGTATCCAGAAGCGCATATTGAACAATTTCCCTTCGTTGGTGTCTCAACTTCCTCTCATAGTCCACATGGCTCTGTCCAACTGTTCCTGCTCAATCCTGGCGGTCAACCTTGGCCCTTGATCATCAACTACTTGGTCGCTTCGGTCACACATCCTTTCGTGACAGTGATCTTTGCTCTGCATGCAGCGGTTGAGTCGTCCTTGCTGAGCCAGTTCGGAAACTCCCTTGGCTATGCACGACCATTGTAACCACTTGGAAAGCATGGAACCAATGTTTTCACGCTCTCATGGATGTCTCCCTGTTGCGTGACATGCACTCGCACTTGAGCAGTGATGGTCGATCACGCTGACGTGACAATAATAAGGACTCGATATTTTCCAATAGCTTCATGCAATGAAGCCAACAGCTTGATGCGGGTTTCCATTGCTTTCTCCCCGGTTACAAAGATAAGAGAACTACCCGTACCCGGCTACACACCCTGCGCTAAGAACATCGGTCACAGAAGCCGAATCTGGCTCGGAAGAAAGAGTCCCGTAGCTACTCGATGAGCTCGAAGCAAGGATGAATGTGACGCTGCCACTTGCAGGACAGGAGCGGTGTGGATGTTGACAGTAAAGAACTCACCAAAGCGCAACCGGCGGACAGCACAAGGAGACGGGGGAGAAATGAGATGTTTGCAAGTCCAACAAACACCGCGTCTAGTTGAGGTTGGGAATCGGAATGCGCATCATCCCCCTGAAGCCAACCAAGTCCTCCAATTCCACCGCAACATCCTCAAAGGACGGTCGCGAGTCAACTTGAGGATCAGCGCACTGCTTCTGCAGCTTCTCCAACCCTTGAACAATGGCCTCCTCTTCCTCTTCCGTGAGTTCGGCACTGTCTCTGAAGGCAGGAGGAGCCGCATCGGCAGCAACAACAACCGCCGACTCCGCCTCCGAAGTCTCCATCGACTTCTTCTCCTTCTCCCTCCTGATCAAACCAAGCACATCCTCCAACAGATGCGCAAAAGCCAATACCTCCAACTTCTCCATGCCAGCGTAGACCTCCTCGTTGTCCGTGCCGTAGATGGTAGCAGCACCAAAATCCCCCAGCAAGGCATGTCTGTCCGCCTTGCTGGCCAGGATGTTGTGCGCATACAAATCGCCATGAGCGATTCCTCTCTGGTGGAGATGAGCAGCCGCTCCAGCGATGCCCGTCAACATACCCAACGCCTCGGCCGCGCTCAGCGAGGCGTCCTCGGGGAAGCAGTCGCGGCTGCAGGTATCGAAAGAAGGCGGCAGCCCAAGAGCCGAGTAGTACTCTGGGATCAACTGCATCACGATCCCTCCCTGGAACTTCTTCTTTTTCTCTTCTTCCCCTTCAGCAGCAGCAGCGGCACCCTCAACAACCTCATCAGGATGTCCAACCACCCTCCCCAAAACCGTAATCAACCCCTCATGAAACCCCGCCGCCAACACCGCAGCCATCTCATCCCTAGGCGTCCCATCACTCGTCACCCCGCCCTTGAAGACCTTAATCGCCACCTCCTCCGCATATTCCTCACTCTGCTTCCACAACCCTTTACCAATCACCCCCGACGCGCCCTCCCCAAGCGTCTCCTGCAGTTCCAGCTTCTCCCACTCAATCGCTTCCAAATCGAACCTCTTCCCCGCCTTCGCCGTCGCCTCGCCCGTCTGTTTCTCGACACAGGGGTTCCCAGCAAATGACAAAAACGCCAGCTTCGGCAGATTGGTGAAAAGCCACTGAGGGATACTCTCAAACCGGTTGGCACTCAACCTCAGCAGCGCCAGATTTTTCCAACCCTCTCCCACGGAAGCCGGTAGACTACTCAAACTGTTTCCAGCAAGCATACACTTCTCCAAATTCTCACACCTTCCTAAATCCTCCGGCAGCTTTTCGATCTTGTTATCCGTCAGAATTAACCAGCGCAGCGTCTTCGTCGGGAGAGAGCCCTCAGGGATGGAAACCATGCCGTTTGACCTAAACGCGACCATTTCCAGGGAGGGACATTGGGATAGGACTGAAGGGAAGGTGGAAAAGTTGTTGTTGGACAAAAAACAGGATGCGGAGGTTGGGTAGGGAGGTGCCGAAGTTGGAGGGGAGCGAGGAGAGGCCGGTGCCGGAAAGATCGAGGTGGGTTAGGGTTGTGCCGAGGGAGAGGATTGCGGAGGGGAAAAGGCCGGAGGGGAGAGGGCAGGTGAGTTTTAGGTGGGTTGTTGAGGCGTAGCCGCCCGAGTTGAGGGTTTCGAGGTCGTGCATCTTGGCTATTTTTGCTGAGGTGTGGTGGTGGTGGTGGCCGTGGTGGGAAGAAAGGATTGACTCGGGTAAGTGATTGGTGGTTTGTTGTGGTGACCAGTTATGAAAGAGTGTTGTGGCTTGTAAAAGAGTGAAGGCATTCACAATGTTAAATTGTTAGTGAGTTTGATGCATGAATGGTGGTGTCCGCTTGTTGGTGGAACATGTTTTACACTTTCTTGGCGGGCCCATCTTCGTGCCCCAGAAATGGGTGCGATAACGATAAGCGGATGTCCACATGGGACGGCATGGATGCTAATTCGAGATGTATTTTGAGTTCCATCTTGATAGAATATAAACAAAATCGAAACTACTAGGTAATGTTGACTGTATATGGTTCTGATGGTTCTCTGACCTTCTCGTTTATTGGTGTGTTGTTGACACTTGATAGCGACGTTTGTTCTCGTTGCTTGACGTGTTGTCGTAAAATACACCGAGCATGTTTGTTACGGCCAATATGGTGCTGTACAGTCAGTTGAGACAACCCAGAGTCGTTACAACAATCCTTTCCAGATGCTAGAGTGCCTTATGGACCCTCTCCAACATATTTCCATGTTTGGTAATCCGTACAGTCCGCGAAGGCCTTTTATCGCCAAAGCGAGGCGTATTGGACTGTCCATGTTCGTTTATTTTACCGAAGTAAACAAGATGTTACATACCGGCAGGCAATACTCAAATAGTAGTAGCGCCTGGCCCAAGCTGCAAGGCTGGTGAGTGTGCTTTTGACATCAGCTTGGCCTGTGCGTGGGTGATCCCCGACCGTTGAATCCATTTCCCAATTCAGCTTTCATTCATTGACTGCAGTGCAAGGTGCGACCGCGCGCCCAGGCCTTATCGATTCGTCAAGAAGCTCTCAGTCCGCGACTTTCCAACATCATCGCAGCAGCCAGATCAACCTCCCACAACTACGATATCCCATACGGCCGCTGAACGAACCTTTGTCAGTACGGATTAGCGACCGATATAAATACCATCGACCAAACGTGTTCTGCCTGGCTTTGTCCCCAGCTCTCGCGAACAACATCCCAGCAGCCCAGCCATGGCGACCGACACGCGCAAGAGACTGGCGGACGCAGAGGGAGCGCAACCGTCACCAGCCAAACGACCAAAAACCAACACATCATCACGAACTATTCTCGCAGTCGAAGCCATCGGAAAGTCACCAAATGCATCGACAACACCCACACCCGACGAACTGGCTAAGAATGGACTGAGGCGGACGATTGCGTTGGCGCTGGAAACGGTCGGCTTCGACGGAGCCACGCCTGAAGCATTAGAGAGCTTCACCCTAATGACGGAGACGTGTACGCCGCCTGTTGTGCCGAGGCTGCCCCGCGTCACCTTGGCTTCATGCTAACCTCACCTTTGTGGGCAGACCTCCATTCATTAACCGAAGAAGTCAAGATCTTTGCCAACGCCGCGCGCCGCTCCTACCCGATACTCAATGACTTCGACAACACACTGAAGCGCTTCAACCTCACACCAACAGCCCTCTATTATCACAGGAAACCCCCGGTACCGAAGAAGAAGCGACAGCCAGTGTGGGAAGATCTCCCCCTCGGCGAAGCCATCCCCACCGACCTCCCCGTCCTCGCTCCCGAACTCGACGGCGCCGCAGACAAGGCAGCGAAGAACTACATCCCGAGCTCCTTCCCCTCCTTCCCCAGCGTGCACACCTACAAATACACGCCCGAAAGCGTCGAGGCCGCCACGGCCGTAGACGACAGCAGCATCATAACCGACACACAAGCCACAACCGCCACGCAGACCCAAACGATGATCGCAGAATCCCAGACCGAAGCAGCAGTAGCAGCGTTAGCATCCCAGCAACAACAATCACAACTCCCCACCAAGATCCCCCAACGACCACTGGCGCCCGACGAGATCCCCCGCGGCGATCCTAAGAAGATCCGCGAAGCCGCCGCCAAGGAAGCCAAGGCCGGCGAGCAAGCTCTACGTCGCCTCATGCGCGCCAGCAAGATTGCCAAACAGAAGGACGTGTCGGCCACGGCGCAGCGGGCGCCGGCCAAACGCGAGCGGTACGCGCTCTGGGAAGCGGCCATGCGCGAGCTGGTCGAGGACGATAGCAAGGCCAAGGGTAGAGAGGTGACGGCTGTGGCTATGCACAGTCAGCAGGGCCGGGTCGAGATTGCGGATCACAGCATGATTGTTAATGCGGAGAAGGGGTACTATCGGAAGGAGGTGGCGAGGCCGGGGGTAATGAAGTTGGCGGGGGAGTTGGCGGGGAAGTAGACATTGGCGGGAGGGTACGAGGGAGATGGTACGAGGGCGGTAATGATGAAGGTGGCTACGAGGGAAGAGGTCATGTTGAGGAATTATCTCTTTCGGTGGCTGAAGGATGACGAGTTCACCATGTGGAAATGGTAAAGATCAAAAATGGCTATGATCATGGCCGTGGTCTTGCGAGGAAATTGCACATGGAGGCTGGAGAGATTGGCATACGAAGAGAGGAGTGTGGTGTCAGCCTTGAAAGATGGCACCGAGCTGTCATTGCTTGGTTCAAAAGGCATGAGGAGTTAGGGAAGGCGTATCATTGATAGCATTAGCATTTGTCGTCTTTCTCAAGTTTACAAGATACCCATATGAAACATACAAATAGACGAGCAGTGGTCTATATAGCGGATGTTGCTTGGTTTCGGTGTTATGCAATGACTTGGTACATTTTGGGTATCGTCCTTAAGGGGTTCACATTAAGGAGAAAACACGGGACTGAATTTCCAAGAAGCTACAGAGGGAGCAAAGAGTCTATGGACGTCCATGCGTGTGTTGAAGTCAATATTGATTATTATGAACGACTGAGATGCGTTTTGCAAACAGAGCTCTTCAATAACTCGAATCTGCCAGTAAATGTCCTAGTAAAAGGGCAATTTGAAGTCTTGTCAGTTCGAGTTTAATACCACCTATTGGCACCAATTGCATAAACAAACCAAACAGAACTGTCATGTGAAGGTCTGCATACTTTTGTGCACAGGTACCTACTGTGTATGAGTGAAGTCATCGTCGAACCTTGGACGAATCTGTTTGTCATCGCCGAGGAAGTGAAGCTCCAAAGTACACAACTAAAGCTGCCAGCTTTTGCCGGGCCGGCAACGGCACAGTGCACTTGGAGTGACGACACTGCAGTTCCGGGCAGGCCTGGCCCTCCAATTTGGTGAAGTGTGGCAGACAGTGTGCAATTTGCGACCAGCCGTTTGAGGCCACAGGAGGAAAGCGCCAAGGCGGCAACAGCCCAAAGAGCCCCACCACGCACCACGCACCCAGCGACCGCCGCCGCAGTGCCTGGCTGTGGCAGCTGTGGCAGGCGGGCTGCCCGCGTCGGCCGACCCTATTTTCCGCCGCACAAAAATTTCCGGAATTCCTACCTGGTCCCGACGCCCCAGTCTCCGCATTGTGCCTTTTGACGATTTTCTGACTTCCCGCGCAGAGAGGCACCGTGAAAAAGCTCACCACCCCATTTCCCCCATTGATCCTCCCCTGATCAACCAGAAAGGAACTGCAAAGATGGCTGAGCAACTCATCCTCAAGGGCACCCTGGAGGGCCACGTAAGTTTTTACAATTTCTTGCGAATTTCCCTCCCCCCGACTCGCTGACGTTGCTGTTTGCTGCTTGCTGCTGTTGCTGCCATGTTGTCGATGTTGCGCTGGTGGGTGGACTTGACAATTGAGGAGGGAGCACTGCAATGGGCGCAATTGAAAAGAGGGTATTACTGCGACGACGGCGACAACGACAACTTGGGCAGGCGACGACAATGGCGACATCTACATGGCAGCAGGAAAAGCAGACAGCAACAAGGCGATTCGTGAACCACCACACATTCGAGATATGTGGTGGGAAAAGTATAAATGAATTATACAGAAAACTGACCATGATATCTTCTACAGAATGGCTGGGTCACCAGCTTGGCCACCTCTTTGGAGAAGTACGAAATCACCGAATACTCGCGCGAAAGATCATGAACTTACAAATGCTCTCGCAATTAGCCCCAACATGCTCCTTTCTGGTAGCAGAGACAAGTCCCTCATCATCTGGAACCTCACCCGCGATGAGACCTCGTACGGCTACCCCAAGCGCCGTCTCCACGGCCACTCTCACATCGTCTCCGACTGTGTACGTTAATTCTCGATGGACACGAATTGGGCGGAGGATTTGTTGATATCTGGGAACATATCGGGGGCAGTTTGACTGATTGGCGCGGCACAGGTGATCTCTTCCGACGGTGCCTACGCCCTCTCTGCCTCGTGGGACAAGACCCTCCGTCTCTGGGAGCTTTCCACCGGCACCACCACCCGCCGTTTCGTCGGCCACACCAACGACGTTCTCTCCGTCAGCTTCTCCGCCGACAACCGTCAGATCGTCTCCGGTTCCCGCGATCGCTCCATCAAGCTCTGGAACACCCTCGGTGACTGCAAGTTCACCATCACCGAGAAGGGCCACACCGAGTGGGTTTCTTGCGTCCGCTTCAGCCCCAACCCCCAGAACCCCGTCATTGTCTCCTCCGGCTGGGACAAGCTCGTCAAGGTATGTTGTAATCTATCACACTCCCCAAATCCGACACCATGATGTTTGCATATTTTTTTCAAAAAATAGTATTTGCTACTTCAGAGCCCTCGGGCCATGAGACCAACTTCACACGCACTGATTTTCTCGGAAATCATAACTCCCTGTTATTCATCACACATGGAATTTCCGTGGATCTTGCGACTAACCAAGTCACAAACAGGTTTGGGAGCTCTCGTCCTGCAAGCTCCAGACTGACCACATCGGTCACACCGGCTACATCAACGCCGTCACCATCTCCCCCGATGGCTCCCTCTGCGCCTCCGGTGGCAAGGACGGTACCACCATGCTCTGGGACCTCAACGAGAGCAAGCACCTCTACTCTCTCAACGCCAACGACGAGATCCACGCCCTCGTCTTCTCCCCCAACCGCTACTGGCTCTGCGCTGCCACCTCCAGCAGCATCATCATCTTCGATCTCGAGAAGAAGAGCAAGGTCGACGAGCTCAAGCCCGAGTTCCAGAACATCGGCAAGAAGTCCCGCGAGCCCGAGTGCGTCTCCCTCGCCTGGTCCGCCGATGGCCAGACCCTCTTCGCCGGTTACACCGACAACATCATCCGTGCCTGGGGTGTCATGTCCCGCGCTTAAGCGTTTGAGACGTAGTCGTCGGAGCCGGAACTGGTTGGCTAGGGGACGTTGTGGACGGGAGGCTTCATGTGCGGCGGCATAACGTGTTGGCAGTTAGTCCGTGAAGGACGACGGACGCCTCGCTTGCGTGTGTCGTGCTCAGGCTGCATCAGGGCAATTTCGTTCAGGGATTCTTCTTCCATGGTAAAAGGCGTATCTCGGAAACTGCTTTGTGTATCACGTCTTTGCTTTCTTTCATTTTAAAACATACCAAAATGAAAGGACAACTGGGAGCTATGGGAAAAAAGTTGCATTGAACCGAACCTAATGTCATGGCCGAAAGAAGGAAGCCTCCACGTGCGCAGCGTATTTTTGGTCCACCTATGGCAATGAATGATAATGAAAGGCCAAGATGAACCATTTGTTTGTTCGTTGTTGATGTGTGATGTGATATGGATCGTGTGTGTATGATGTGAACCAGACTATTGGTATCCAGTGTCTTGACTTGTAAGCTGTCTGATGTCCATCTTCATAGTAAAGTTCATGCTCGCGTCCTCTTCCTTAGCCCGGCCTTTCCACACCACCCTGAAAGTCTCCACGACCATACATGCAAACAGACCTTTCCCTCCTACTCCCGCTCAACACATCGACCCGTCCTCCTTACCGTCGAACAGCCACCTCCTCAAACCGATACGGCCCTTGGCATCTCCCTCCCCATGCCCATTTCCATTTCCATTCCCATTCCCATATCCAGTCCCAGTCCCAGTCGCACACCCTCCACTCTCGCGTTCACACCTCTCAATCCCCCCTCCCAAACTAGACCCAGTCTCAGCCGTATCATTCCCATCACCCCTTCCTCCACCCCTTTCCCCATACCCACGCCCACGCCCATTAACCTCACCATAACCATAACCACCCCCCTCAACCCTCATACCACGCAACTCCTCAAGCGGAACCTCAACATACCCAGGAGGGCCCGCATAAGAACCAGGACCAGGACCAGCATAAGAGTACTGATGATCCCGACATTCTCTTTCAAGATCCTCCCGTCTTTGTTGTCGTCTCTGTCGCCGTCTTCCGCTTCGCCATTGTAAGAAACAAACGGTTATGAAGGTTATTAAGACCAGGGCTAGGGCGGTGTCGACGATGGCTGTTAGGGTTGGGCCTTGGGTGGGGGGGGAAGAGGGAGGATGCGTCTGGATCGTCTTCATTGTCTTGAGTGGCTGGCTGCTGTGAGTCGGGCACGGCAGGGGTGAAGAAGATGGTGGTGTTGGGTTGGCGTAGCTGGTGAAAGGGGTAGATGATTTGTTAGCGTTTCCCGGTCAATGCGGTGATGTATCATCATAGTTGAGTTGGGGATAGGGGAATTGTTGTGTTGGTTTGGTTTGGTTTGGTTTGGCTTGGGGTTTGAATTGGATTGGATTGGGTAGGTAGATCTGGAGGGCAGAGGGACTAACTAACCTGTACCATGGTACCTCAACTGTTTGCTTTTCCTTTCCTAATTTCCTTTCCTTTCCTTTCTTTTATTCTTTTTTGCGATATCCTCGTCAGGTAGGTAGGTAAGTCTGATCTCCCCGTCTTCCAGCCGTCCGAGTGCTGACTGACTGTTTTAAAACGGCGAATCTCAGTCTCGACACCTCTCGGTTCAGTTGCTGACCTGGCTGACCTACTATGCTGAATGTCCACTGCAATCGTGAATCGTGAAAAATGCTGTGCTGGGTGGTAAGCACTCAACTCATAAAGACCGAGGAGAGTCAAATAACAAAGGATCAACTAAGTACACATAGATACCTGTGGTAGATATTGATACAAGTCCAAGTCCGAGTAAGGTACCCCCCTAGCAATGGCCCAAAGAGGTCCGAGTTGGATCAAGTTGAGTCGGGTCGGGTTGAGTCGAGTCGAGTTGAGGCAAGTAATAAAGCTCAGACAAGAGAATAGACAGACCCACCGATGGACAATTCAAGAAACGAGACTATCTGCGCTGAGGATATCGAATGGGAAGACAACGGAGAGAGAGAGAGAAAGGGCAAAAAAAAGAAAAAAGCCAAAAAAAAGCCAGGAAACGAGAAAAAAGATTAAAAAAAAACAGAGTTGCTATCACTCTCAAAGGATAGCGTCACCTCCTCTCTCCGGAAAACTTAGAGGTACCTATCAGCCTACCTTATCCAACAACTTCAGTCTACCAAGTTAATAGGTAACCAAGATAATAAGTAACCAAGATAATAGGTCACCAAGGTACTTAAAGTAGTAGACAACCAAGATATGATTGTTGTTGTACAAATCTGAGTTTTGGTCCCTAAATTCCTTAAGCAACTTTTCCGATCATCTTTCCCTGACCGTATTCTCCATGGCCATCTCTGTTCCTTGCAGTAGGTCCTCACAGGATAAAGTGATACCGTCACACATTCCAAAGGTGTGTACCCTTCGTGTACAAGTCCACTCCTATGTTTGCTCTCATATGTACCACTACTGGCGGCTTTTGGCGTAGGGCGACATCTGATGTGTCCGTGTTGGCTGCATCAAAGTTCGTAGTACCCGTCAACCAAGTATATCCGGCAAGTCCAATATGTGGTAGTGATTGCTTGTTAATAAGAGGAAGATGATTTTTGAGGAGACTCATAACTCCAAGTGCAATCTTCCTCACGGGATACAGTGGACGTTTGTCACTCATGCGTGGAAGGTGTCCGGTGCAACAAATTTGCAACTCAAGTGAGAACATGTAGCTTCTAATGTGATGAGTGAACTCAAGCGCTGTTCTTGTTACTATTTCCTATCATCATACTCCATAAGAAAGCAAACCCAAAATCGCTGATGTAACCATAAGAAAACAATATCCACCTCAATAACTCCCATCTTCACATCCCGCTTCTGCCTCAGTGCAGTCCTGTTTTCCCAAACATTATTCCTCCTGTGGCGGTTCCTGTGAGGGTTCCAGTGGCGGTCCCTGTGTCTGCGCCGAGCCACCCCCCAAAAATGCCCCATCCTCCATCAAACCATCAAAGGTTATCCTAAGCGGAATATCCACCACCACCTCCTCCTCAATCTTCGTGACTAAAGTCGGTGTGTCACGGTGGTCCCCGTTGTCAGCACTCGTACGTCTCTCTCCCACGGTTCTCTGTCGTCCGATTCCTCCAAGCGTGCAAGTGAATTCCTCAGAAAGCCTCTGAACCATGATGGCTCCCAAGAGGTTACTCTTCTTCCGCCGGTGGTTGGGTTTCCGTTCCCATCTGTGGAGTAAACGCTACTGGCTGCCGTTTAAAATCGTCCTCAATATCAGTATTTCGACTGAAGACGGTTCCTGGAAAGAGAAGACGACGGATAAGCCACGTGTAGACACAAAGGGAAATGCACGCGCTGAAGCGGAGAGTCCACGCTGAGCAGGTGTGTGCGATGCATGAAACCGGGAAAGAGATATGGCCATGACAACGTCGTGCCATAACAAATGAAATGGATTATGTGAGAAAAAAACAATGGAAGCTCAACTTACCTGGCCTGATACTCGGCTCGCCCGAAGAGCCACCTGCACCCTCTTCATCCCCTTCTATTAGGCCGCCGGGTTTTTCCTTCTGTCTTGTCAGCACCTCCGTTAGCTTGCCTCACTACCAGGCCGTATGTGCTGAACTTACCCGCCCTTCGAAGCGCACGCGACACTCTTCCGACCCACCTTGCCCATTGGCTGGTTGCGCAGTGCTGCCCGTATTGTCAACCGCCCCGCCCTCAGACGTGGACGTCTCAGGTGCCGTAGTGTAGGGTGGCGGGAAGAGAGGTCGTGAACTCGCAGGAGAAAAAGATTGCCCGGGTGGCTTAGTACCACCAGAAGTACTGGATGATGGTACAGCTGTCTCGTCTGAGTGTTCCACCACCGGGACCGTTGCAAGACGCCGGCCAACAAGTTTGGGATCCATGTTATCCATTTCCCTACCCTCCTCGGCGGGGGGTTCAGGCCTATCCCCGGCTCGGAGTTCTGCTCTCTCTTCATCCACTTGTCTTCCTTCGTTTGCTGGCACTTCTACGTTTATCCCACCATAGCGGCGTCCTTTCTCAGCCCCGTCCGGTACGATGAAGAGCTTGTCAATTCGGAAAGCCGCGTAGCCAACGACGATGAGGAGTTCAATGGTAAAGTTGAAGCAGTAGAAGGCGGCGCGGCTGTGGTACCAAGTCGCGTGGCCGATCTCACGTGCATCAAAGTTTGCACCAAGTCTGAAGCCTGCACCAAGGGTAGTCAGGCACGAACCGAACGCCAACACCATAATCTTGCGTGGTATTGATCCCTCTCCGAAGTTGTCCATCCCATTGACATCGAAGCTGGGTGTGTAAAGCAACCATAGGATGTATCCAACGGCAACAGAAGGAAGGAAAGCCAAGGTGGTTAGCCAAGTGCTGCAGGCGAGCAGCAAGACACGCTCGATGTGGCGAGTTTTGGCGTCGAGGGTGAAGAAGAAATGGACTGTTGTTGCGATGATGATAACCAGGACAGAGGCGATGCTTATGAGGAGGCCCAGAAAGATCTTGTTCATGAGTGGTCTCCAACCAAGCTGTGGTTGAACCGCACGGAGGAGGCGTTGGGAAAAGAAGAGGTTCACAATGATGACGATCACGCCGCCAAGAAGGATGAAAACATTGGCAGCAATTGCAATGCGAGGGTTATCCGGGTTTGATGCCCAGATTAAACGCATTGAGATTGCCGTAATCCGGGCCATGCAGAAGCCAAAGAGTGCCATGGAAAAGACGAATTTGCGGCCCCGGCTTTTGTTGCGTCCGAAAACGCCCGCGTGTGCAGCGGCAGCGAAGACGAAAAGTACCAAGAATAGAATGCAGGGAGCGAGGTCGTGATTGAAGGCGGGTATTCCGCCGACCGGGGCATACGGGGGGAGGTATGGCGGCCCAGAGGGGGTTGCCTGACCACAATGTTTATTAGCAACTGCGTCGACAACACATAAATGGAGGAAATCCTTACCGGTTCCTTGATGTCTGCTTTTGATGACGCCATGTTCGATATCATGCAGTAGTAGCACATGAGACTGATGAAGATGGCAAATCGATCAAGTACGAATGGGTATCCAAACAAGACCTGAGGTTGAAGACAAGTAGCGAATGATGATGGGCGAGAAAAGAATGTAGATGTAACACTTTCAAAGCCCACGGGGGATCCAAAGAATGACCGCGAGATGGCGTGGGAACAGAGTAACACGTGGAAAAGAGAAGATGGTAAATAAATGAACTCGAAGAAGTGTGAGGAGGCATTGGCCTGGGCAACACCTCACTTAAGGAGCGACTGCCGGATGCTGTTTTTGAGATGACACTGGTATCAGTGGAAGATGCTATCACTTTGAGGCTGTAAAGAGCAACGCACTACATTGACTCTGACAATTGGAGCTGTGTAGACCAGACACCACTTTCCGGTAGTAATTCCACGTTGATGGTGTCGTATGTATCTCGATCCTTCCTCGAGATGAGCATTGAGACAACAAGGCCGTGAAGATGGAGGAACTGCTTGAGCTCAATGGAAAGAGAAACGACGGGATATCTTTATGACTTGTGAAGAGGAGAAAATTGATGAGAGGACATTATAATAGCAAGTAATGCCATTTCCCGTCGAGTGTCCCAGAATGGTAGCTGTGATCATGGCAATGCATCTCGAGTAAGACAAGCTTGCGCCAGACAATGGCATTTTGACATCTCTCGAGGGAAAGGGAAGGAAGTCTGAGAAGGTACTGAGAAAGCCATGATAATAGGAGATCATGGTCCGTATTGTAACAAGGAAGGTTAATGGGAGGTCCACGCTCCACAGGCAAGCATAAAGTTGAAGTTGAGAAGTTGGATGTTGAGTTGAAGTTCGATCCTCACAATTGCCAAGACCTGGTGTTGGACCTTCTGGGCCTTAAATGTGGGGCTTTACAAGCACTGCTGCAAGCACTGCTGCTGCCCGTTCATTCGGGCAAAAGACCGTTGTTGCCGCATAGGAACGCGGAAAGCGGAACTTACCGTCGAGAATTTTGTTCCACTTTTCCTCACTGCAGCGAGTCCAGTCCGGCCGACCACTACCGTCCAGCCCGTCCGTCGTTCGTCGCGTCCACTCCGATCCGAGCTCCGTCTTTCTGTTTAGAGAGAGACAGAGAGAGAGGCCCGATTGCCAATGCCATCCACACCGGCACCATCATGAGTTTCAATGTGCCGTCCAGGCGGCTCCTGAAGAGCGGTTAGTTGGCAACCTTCACCCCTCCTCCCCCACCATTATGTTTCCTTTCATGATGTTCATCATCATCGTCATCGTCGTCGTCGTCGTCGTCGTCCCATATGTCCCAATAATCCCAAATAAATTCACAGACTAACCCCAGGACTCAACCTACACAGCAGCCTCCCCCTCCTCCGCCAACGCCCTCGTCCCGGCTCTCCAGTCCCTCTCGATCGCCAACACTACAACTAGATCTATCCACACCACGCCATCCCAACAATGGAGTCTCTTCGGCTGGGGCAAGCAGAAGATGGAGGAGCGTAACAAGGCCAAGGAGGAGCTCAAGCAGACCGAGGCCGCCCGCACCTCCAAACGTCCTACGCAGGAGGAGATCGTCGCGCGCGTGCGCGGCCGTCTCGAAGGCGACTCCATCTTCGCCGACACCACGCCTTCGTCAGAAGCAGCCGACCACCTCGCCGCCGAGCAAGGGAAGCACAAGGACTGGGCCCTCGCCAAGGCGGAGAAGAAGCTTGCCGCGGCGCACGGCGGCAAGGGCAAGGTCGAGGAGACCACGGCGACGGGCATCTCGCTGATCAAGGACCACATGGTGCGCGCGGTCGACCCGGACCCGCGCTCGCGCGTGCGCTGGGAGCGCAAGATGGTGATCCGCAAGCTGCAGCGCGGCACGGACCCGTGGAGCGTCGAGCCCAAGACGGAGCGCATCGCGCGCACCGAGCGCAAGCTGGTGTTCAAGACCAACCTGCTGCCGACCTCGGTCAAGAAGCTGGTGCACCTATCGCGCCAGATCCGCGGCAAGACCGTGTCCGAGGCCCTGGTGCAGATGCAGTTCAGCAAGAAGAAGATGGCCAAGGAAGTCAAGACGGAGCTGCTCCGCGCCGAGGCGCAGGCCATTGTCATGCGCGGTATGGGCTTGGGCAAGGCTGCCGCTGCTACCAAGAAGAAGGACGCCGCCGAAGCTCAGGAGCCCGTCAAGATCCAGACCAAGGACGGCAAGCACATGGAGATCCGCGACCCGACCCGCATCTATGTTGCCGAGACTTTCGTCAACAAGGGCCCCATCAGAGGTGCTGAGATCGATTATCGTGCCAGAGGCAGGGTGTTCAAGATGGACAAGCCTACTACTTGTGAGTGCCCATTATTTCTGCTTTTCCCCCCTCCCTAACCTCTCCTTTATCCTCCTTACCCCCTAAACCCCAACTGCAACTTCGACTCCAAAACCAAACCCTCCCTAAACTAACACCTTCCCCCTTTCTAGCCATGACTGTCGTCCTCAAGGAAGAAAAGACGCGCATCCGCGAGCACCAAGAGCGCGTCGCCAAGAAGCTCCGCCAAGGTCCCTGGGTTCACTTGCCCGACCGTCCCGTTACTTCCCAGCGCCAGTTTTACTCTTGGTAAACTGCCTCTCGTCTCTGTCCATATCTACACACACTAAATGTGTGTCACGGTATGTGGCGGCTGCCTGCAGTTGATTTGAGGTAGTAGATTACCTAACTTGGGGCTCCCTTCCACTCTCGCTTATGTCCCCATGTTCATGTCCAATGACAAGGAAAAAAGAAAGGAGTGGATGGCATGGGACATGGTCACATGATGGTGGGAAGGGGCACTTGGGAAGAAATTGTATGTATGTACGAGTAAAAAGAAAGACGGACAGGCAGGCGAGCAATACTGGAACGAAGTGGAAGTTACAGAGGCCTCCATCCAGGTCTTCGTTTGCGTCTACAGTACCCTGTCACTTTGTAAAATAGATTCGCAATATACCAAGAAAGCCACCCACCCACCCGGACTGCACCCATACCATGCGTCTCGAGGGAACCCGCTGGTGCTTACCCGATGGCTAGGTAGACCACGCAAGCCACTCTGGCGCCCTACGAGAAGCCTTCGCTGGAGAGTATGTGGTGTTCCGACTGTGAACGCCAGTGGCGTTGATATGCCTTGATTCTTGCTGATGGTTTGATTACTGACAAATTTCAAGCAGCTTGCTCACAACTGAAAGATGCTCTGAAGTCATCAATGAATTCTTGTTTATATAATCCGACGACAGCTTCGGCTACAATTGCATGAGCCACGTCAACTATCAGATAACCTGCTCACAACTGAAGAAGCCCTCAAGTTCTCATAATGAATCATGTTCATTGTAGCGAGTCTGTCAAATATGTACAGGAAATTCCAAGCTAGAAACCAAGCAACATGTCCGCGTGCTAATATCCGACTACAAACCGCCCAAGACTTTGGTGATACAGAGTCCGGCTACATATGTATGCCCATATTCTTTAGTCGCCTGTAAGCGTACATGCTCGCTGTCCGTCCTTCGCTATCCTTCGCTGATGAAAAACACTCGCTGTGTTGGTTTGTCCTTTTTTGGGGGTTTGCTTTTAATCTTTCCTTTTGTTGTTGATCATATCTCTTCCCATACATCACTTTTTCCGCTGCCAATGAAAAGCTTAAACCATGTTCCTCGGCTGCTGTCTAGGCACCATGTCCTCATACCGGCGACTCTTCATTTCCAACTCGTTCTCGCTCATGATGGTGATGCCGCTGACACCGCCGTGGCTTGTGGCCTTCGAAAAGTTGTTGTGGTTGTACGGATCGCTGGCATAGTGACGTCCGCCTGCCACAGGGTCCGAGATCTTGATATGATCCTTCGGAGTGCTGCGCTTGCGGAAAATCCAAAGGGCGGCGGTTACAAGCAACACGAGGGATGCTACTCCAATGGCAGCGCCAATGCCGGCTTTGGCGCCCGTAGAAAGTCCAGGTTTGTCATCATCCTCGTCCTCGTCCTCACTATCATCCTCGTCTTTGTCCTTCGAGGTGGATGCCGGGGCAGAGGCGGAGGAGGTGCTGGAGCCTTCAGTGGCCACGGGAATAATCGCGCCGGCTCCAGTGGATGTTGCCGACTCGGAGTTCTCAGTAGCGGAAGTGGCGGCCTGGTTCAAGGATTAGTTTCTTTTCGATTTCAAAAGGCACCTGATTAGCTTACGGTTGATGGGGCCGAGGCACTGGTGGCAGCGGCATCTGTCGGGACAGAATTGGACGCCTCGGTAGCAGAGGGTACCGCAGAGGCAACAGGCTGGGTCTCTCCAGCGGGAGTCTCAGGCGCAGGAGTGCTCGCAGGGGGTGCGGCAGCATCTGGATTGCCGGGAGCCGCTGAAGTTGCGGCCGGTGCCTCAGCAGTCGCGGCGGGTGCCTCAGCAGTCGCGGCTTTGAAGCCATGTCAGTTCGTCTATCCAACTTGTTCTTTGCGATTCCAGGTTCTGTTTCAACTTACTGGCACACAAAGCGTGAGCTGCGGCTACAGCAATACCAGCGTTCTCCCCAACGGCCGCCTCACCATACACAGACTCGCAAGCATTAGTCACACAGTCATGGATGGCGTTGAAAAAGTCGGCACTGGGGCAAAGGCACTTCATGTCAGCCTGAGCGGCGCCGGTGCACAGCGAAGATCCATCGCGGGAAGAGTAGTAGCAGTTTTGCTATAACACTGTCAGTCAGGCTTCAGACACAAGACAGCAGAGAATGATGACAGCCGCGCAGTCACGTTTAGAACATGGATACCGCGTCCCTTGGGTGTTAAGTGGCAGGGTGAGCTAAAAGTGAGAGCACTTACAGAACACTCGGGCAGACTGTCGATGGACTGTCCAGTAACCGTCACAGCTGCGGCGAGCAGCGCCAGAGTCTTGAGAAGTAGCATGGCTACCTATCAGATACAGCTGAAGTCGAAGAAAAAGTGAAAATGTTGTAAGTTGATGGTGGTTTGCCGCCAGACGTTATGAGGGCCTGGTAAAAACGGAAGCGACACGCAATGGCGTCAACCGCAACGTGTCTCTCCTAAGACGATCTGAGGTGAAAACGATGACGAAGCCTGTCTGAGCCAGACTCTCGCGATTCCTTGTTGATACTTTCCAAGGTGAACTCCGTGGTGAGTGTGGGTAGGTAGGACCAATCTCGTATGGTGGCACAGCCAGGTCAAGGGCGACTCTCCCAGCTGCTGTCGAGGATTTTTGAGACGGGAAGACCGAAACGCGCAAGAGAAAAGACCGGCTCTTGTCGAAAGTGATGGCCAAGTTTGTTGGTGGGTAGAAGGTAGGTGAGTTTCGTTTGGGATGGGAAGGAAAGCTGAAACGTAAACCAGGGCGGGGCTTAATGAGAAACGCGACAGAAAGAAGAGATGAAATAACGTGAGTCGTGAAAGAATGTACAATCTTTGGCGAAGTAAATTGTTCAAGGTATTGTGACCTATTGAAGAGGGAGGAACCCGTCCGAACACCACCGGCAGTATCGAAGATCAGGTATTGTAGAGAACGACTATGAAGTGAAAGTTGAATGAGAGGAAGCTGTTGTTGCTTGCAATATCGTCGAGTGTACTTTGTAGTGGTCGACGTCCTCGGTGCCGACGGGATGGAAAAGTCACCAGAGATGCAATCACTCGGTCAGATTGCCATCACGAAAAAAAAGAGAGGAATCGCAGTTCGACATGGAGAGGGAGGGGAAGGCGCAAATAATAAGAAAGAGCCAAGCTCAACGATACCTACCTTACGACAAGGGAGGACGATGAACAGGATGGGGCCTTGCTCCTCGTGGCTTCCGTCTCGAGTTCGAGTTCACTTTCCTCTATTCTCCGCCGTCGACTGACAGGGCTTCCTGACTTGTACACGCCTGGTCCATATCCACCCTGGCCACTCCTGCCATTTCTGGGATAACGCCAAAGTCCAATGCTCGGGTCCGATCCAAACACTTTAGTTCCCCGTGATCCCGGTGATGCGCAAAATACCGCGATTTTCAAGTGTCAGTCTGGCAAGAGTAATGGCATGCCGCGGCTTAGACTGAGTGCTGAGTGAGGAGCATGCTCGAGGAAGGCGCACATGAATGTCACATCTGGGCTTTTGGAATGTTCCCGTCCATCTGGGATTGGAAGGTGCCTTGCAGATTACGAGGAAGGCAGCAGCAGCAGTCATGGTGGCAGTGACGAGGGTGACGGGAGGTGCGCCACACAGAAAACTTAACGTTTGGTACCTGGAATGGAGCGAGGAGGTGATATTGATGAGAAGAAGAGAACTGTCGTGCCTTCCCATCTTTCTCAGGGCAGCCCCCCCTCCACACAAAAGTGAGCGGGTCCCACTTACACATCCCTGCAGTTCTGCAGCAAACCCCTGCCAAGACTTTTGGAAGTGGGGACTCGGACGTTGGAGACGCTTTGAACCATGGCCCGATGGATTGATCGCTTCGAGGACGGAGTTCATCTTAAGTCCCTGAAAGTGACGATACACTTTGAAAGTTTGAAATGGTTATGGTGGGAATCGCGCCATTGCATCGCAGCGTGGTAGCAGAGATCTATCTTTTGCAATGATGGGGCTCACCTAAGGCTGACCTGTACCAGTTTTTAGACGCGTGTTATAGACCGGGTTTTGGATATAGTGTTTGGTTTTTTGTTCGGTACTCAACGTTTAGGCTTGGGTGACACGGTTGCCATATTTGGAGGTTTGGGCTGAAAGGGCTGTTCCGTAGTGTACAGTATTACATGGGATGGGTACGTGGAAATGGTATCAGACCACCACTTTATCACTTTGCAAGGGTGAGAAACCGAAGGATGGGAGGAATCGGAAAGTGTTACTCTAACCAGATCTCGCTCCGCATCCTCCACGATGGAAACAATCAATGATGGCGTGCAGGATGCGCTTCTTATTCTTCTGCTCGTCAACAGAGCTCAGACTGAAAGTTTCTTCAAGCCGATCTTTAAGCCCTTCCTCATCTCAATAACGTGCGACTCATGCCAATAAAGTCCCCCCTTCGCCACATGCGCATCAGACGATCTACGCAAGGTTGGATTTTGCAACCTCATCTGATTCTCAGAATCACCATCCCTGGTTTTTCCGTCTGTGGATTCGCGACTGTTCTTCACCAACAGTGGTCGAATGTGACGATGCATGCTGCAGTGAGCTAACAAAAGACATTCGTTCCGAGATTTTACTGGCCGCTCCAAGCGACGAATTGCTTCCCTGAACCTAAAGATCGCCGAGAAGCCTTCCCGTCCCGTCGTTTACCGTTCGACGCTGCTCGGTGCTCACAAAAAAAGAGCTTACCAACAAGCCCAGCGCTTCAGACTTCAGACAGCGCGAGAGCGGGCGGGAGAGCGCTTCATGTAACGGCGGGGCCGGGCTCATTCTTGAGCCATGTTTCATGATTTAACAGCGCTTGACCGTTGCGGGGATAGCCTCATCGCCGTCCCCACCGTTCTCATTGAAGCGTCATCACACGCCCTGTAACGCCCAGGGTTCGTGTGCTCTGGGGGCCCGGCCGCCCGTTGGCGGAACCCTTTCCCTTCCGGGCCGTAGGCCCCGTGTGCCCCGTGTATCCCGGAGGGGAAATAAAAGATGGCACATACTCTCATCCTCCGGCGCAACCGACGATAATATTATCCTCAATGTCAAATCCGGCCGTCAAGTCCATACAAAACATACAGGGAAAGCGTCGTGTTTTTTTTTTTTACACCGACACCACAAAGTCTCTCCGATCGAATGCATTGAATGTTTGCTCGTTTCGGCGCCCGACTGACGGGCTGCTTGCACCTGGCAAGACATTTTCTGTTACAGAAAGAAACAGGAGGAAGTAGTTTGCCCCGTCTTGATCAATGCCCTTGCAGATCAAATCGGTAGTCGACTTTGGCCTCTGGGTGGCGGTGAGCTTTCAGAGAAACGGCGAGTATTCCTGACATTGGAGTAGGAAAGGTGGTTGAAGAAAAGGACAAGAAAAAGAAGTCGAGATGATGCTCTTGGAGGTGTTGGATTGATGCAGCAATCAAATGCCCTGAAACGGTTGCGGGGTGATGCACTGACCAATTATTCCCGCCTGCAGTCATCTTTGCGAGTCTTCTAAACACCCACATCAACGTCAAGTCGTCAAAACAAAACAGAACCATAAACTGTTCAGGTTGAAGACAACAATGAGGCACAAAATAACCAGACACTTGGAGGTAAACATTGGAGTTTACGAGAGAATATTTCCCCTCATCACTTTCACTACTCTCCCTGTTGTGTTTGACTCTCAAAGCAGCTGCCCGAGACAACGTCGCCAAAGAGAATTTGTCCACCTGACTGACAACAACAATAAGTGTTCAGCTAACAAACTCCAGAGAAACAAAGTCCGAAGTCGTGTCGAATGTCGATCGGTAACAACGATACTGCTCAGAGCCCCTCTTCCGCAATCCGTAAGTCTCGATTCATCGATCTGACAACTACCGGAGTGTACATGCAAATGCCCGCTGCGGTTTGCCGCCTCCATCTCACTGTCTCGAACTTCAATCCCAGCTTTTGGCCTTGGTCTCAGCTGTTTCTCGGTAACACCGCTTTTTTGGTCTTTACTGCTGGCTCAGACGGCGTTTCACAATTCAGCCTCAACCTCAGATAACTGATAGGTCATACAAGATTTGTGGTATGGTTGGGTGGAAGATATTGGCCGACCTGGACGGGAACCGGCTCGGAAAAAAAGGTACACCGGAATACCTTTGATGATTGTGCGTAGGAGTAGCTCCCAATGCTCAGGAAACTCGGTCGAAAAAGACCATGCGAGATTCAAAAGGCAATGGCTATTCGCCGCAGAAGTATTAACTCTGAAGGGTACCTCGTAAGTGAAGCTTCGTAACACAGGATGCCGAGAGTTGGAGAGAGCGTAAGTCAAAGTTCAAACTTGAATGACAACAAATCCAACAAGAAAGCTCTCAACAACATCAGAAAGGCATGCTAGTCCTCAACATCGCGCATCTTGCCGTCACAATGATCAATGTCAACATGAAATCGCCAAAGTGGACAAAGACGTCATCGTCTCGAAAGCCACCATTCATCTTATCGATAAGCTTGAGCTTCCAGACAGCCTTACGTAAGCCCACCTCCCGTCACCACCAAACAGTAGGGTGGTTCGCGCTCCAAGATTTGCCGAGAACCCGCAGTTGCCGGCTCCGGCTAACTCTTGAGCTTCTCACCCAAGCTTGCGAGCATCACGTGACTCAAAGCTTGGAAGCTCCCGTGCAGCGAACCTCAGGTCATCCATTCGTAAACGAATCTTGAAGCTCCATTTTGAAGTCCAAAGCCGTCAAACCGCGCACCCTCGTCCTTTCGCAAACCCGAACCCCTTTCGATCCCCCAACGAAAACCAAACAAAATGGCCGCCACTACTGCTGTCCGCCCCATCACCGGTGTACGTGATTTCCGAAAGCCCGCTGCGCAATAGAGGAGGACGAATTCAATTGAAGGACAGCAAAAGAGGAGGGAATGACGGAATTTAGGCGGCGCAATGATGACGCACGCACGCACATAGCGATTGGACACAACTTGGAAGCGTTTTGGGAGGATTGAAGGGGCTGACATTATGATTCTTCTGGGTTAACAGATGCTCCGCCGGGGCCTCATGCTCGACCTTGGTCTCTCCCTCGGTGAGTAACCCAACTGGAATTCCTATGAGCGAACGGATGGACGGACGGACGGGGAGGTGGTTCTTCGAAGGGCGACAAACGGGAGGCGGTGGGACCACACGGCGGGCAATGGGAAGAACAGAGCAGAGCTCGAGCTTCAGCCGACCGGCTGGTTGTGGGCCGTGAATCACGATTATGACGGCGCAAGCCAGGCTAGGATTGCCCATGGCTCACGAGGCTAGAAGCTCGAAGCTCTGCTCACCCCGCCCTGCCATACCGACCTACCGTCTCGACTCTTCGGAAGAAGCTACCTCCTTGTCTACTTCTCTACCTCCTATCTGTATTTCCATAGCTCGAACTTGGTTAGCTGACTCCTTCCTTCCCAGGTCTCGGCTTCGTCATGGCCAACGCCTACTGGTACGACATACCTCGATGAACACCTCACTTTCCATATATGCCCTTGCACCTTTGCACTCGATTCGAACCGACAAACGAATGAACTCGAACAAATCTCCCATATTATATTTTGACCGGTCGATATCTAACCCCTCGCACCCACAGGTACGGCTACCACGTTCCTCGCACCAACGCCCGTGACGTCTACTACAAGAAGCTCGAGGAGGAGCGCGCTGCCCGCATCGGCGCCTAAATCGATCGAACGATGATGGACGACCGATGACGACCTTCAACCGATCGCGGAGTGATGATACCTGAGGAGGAAGGAGGCTTGTATATCTACCCTACATATGAAGACGGATAGACAAACACCAGCAATATCGAGTCAGGCCGAACAAACATTTCATTACCCTTTTCCTGGCTTGTGATACCTGTACGGGTTGAAAGGGGGAAGCCAAGAAGATTGTGATTGGCTAGTTTATAGACGAGAGGGAGGACATGACGGGAATGATGCAATGCAATCGGAGATGCCCGGTAGACGACCGGAATCATCACTTCGAGAAGGGGGGCTTCTGGTTGAACTTGGACCTAGAGTAGAAATACGAGACGGGTATTATAAAAGAGAATCACTGCTTCTTTCTATTCCACCATCTATCCTCCTTATCATCCTCTCTGCCCCATGTGCGATGATCGATCTGCTGCTGCTCCTGTTCAACTAGTGACCGTTTGTTGCTAGCCGATGTCGCTTTGGCTTTGCCGTTAGCTACCGATGACGCTGCTGCTGCTTGTGCCGCGGCTGTCCCTTCCCAAGCCGTGGTCTCAACCGTGAACGGCCCATTTTTGTCCTTGCACCTATCCCATTCCACCAAGCCGTCAGCCATTGTCAACATCTTTTTTTCCCCCTTCCCTCCTTTATCTTCGTCTCTTCTTGTTCTTCTCTCCCAAAATGATACCCTAAAGGACCAAAAAAAGAACATACCTCCGAAATAACCGCTGAACAGGCCAACACTCAATCTGGCTCTCCCTCAGCTCCGGATCGCGCACCTGGCAATCATACTGCATCAACCCGAAGAGCTCGCTGCAGTCCCGGAGCAGATCGATCCGCTCACCGGAAGAAGTCTTGCGGACGCGGTGGTCGGGGCCGACTTGGATGTGTGTCGGGAGGGCTTTGGCTTTGAAGGATTGGCAGGGGGGCGTCATTGTTGTGGTTCGGAGGGAGGGGTAGCTTGCGTAGGGTTCGGCACGGCGGGTTGAGAGGGGAAAACGGGTTTTCGAGGATGCGACTCGAGATTGGCAACTGAAAGAGAAGCTGTGAGGTAACGAATTGGACCCGCGATGCAAAGGGCCGCTGTCGCTTCCGCGGTTGGGGCGCGGTTGTTGAGCGAGATTGAGGAGGGGAGTCTTGAAGAGGTAAGTCTTTAAGTATGATGCTGCGCACGGTCTTCCCTTGTTGATTGATGATCGCCAGTCGTGTTGGGAGAGTTTCGCGATTCTACAGTTTTCGGTGTTTGGTTGTTGTTGTTGTTGTTGTTGTTGTTGGAGAGGACGACTCGGACGCATTGAACTTGATGGAGAGGGAAGATGTCATCACGTAATTCTTATCGCGATACATAGCCCCCCGCCGCGCAGCTGTCCGGATGGGACGGTTTTCTTCCCATCTTCTCTCTTTTTTCTTGACGAGATCAAACATCATGACTAACCATTATCATCGTATCACCAGCTTCTAGCAACGCTTCGCACAAACTTTACCACTCTCGCCAACGCCGACTTCAACGATGCCACCATCCACAATTATGACACGACCGACCACGACCACGACCACGACGTCACCACCACCACATCCTCCCAAACCCAAAAGCCGGTGATCGCGCCCATGAAGACAACCACAACTACCAAAACCTCTATAAAACCAGAACCCCGACACTTCCCAATACCTTTCCTCAACGAGCTAGTACAGCGCCATTTCCGCGCCACCGGATCCGCCACCCTCTCCATCACCGGCCGTTATCATGAACTAGTCTACCTGCTAGTCGCGACATTGATTGCGCCTCCAAACTACAAGACGGTTGCTATTATGGATTTTGAGGGGAGGTTTGATGTGTTGAGGTTGCTTGTGACGCGGCTGTTCTGCTCCTCTACTAGCGAAAGCACCGATGTCCGTCCCCTCGAACCGTCCGACCTCGACCACGTGCACATCCTCCGCCCGCCTCGCCGCTCTAATACCCCTGGGGCTCTAAATACCTACCTATCGGTACTAGAGGAGTATATGCTCTATGCACCGCATAAAAGTCGGAAACGAGAGTGGTGGGGGACTATTGTTATCGGAAGCAACACCACCACCTCTTCCTCCTCCACCAGCACCACCGCTGGCAACAACCCTGCGGGTCCGACACATGCTCAGGCCCAGGTAGCGGTAATGGCTGGCTGGCAAGGCTGGTTGCGCGTGGATAGGGCTGAGGTGTCGACAGTAACAGGGGCTGGTGCTTGGACTTTCTGGAATAAGAGTGCGGAAGAGGCGAGGAGCGAGAGACACGAGAGGCAGGTAGCGGTGGAAGAAGGTGGGTGGGTTGCTAGTTCTGCTTGGGGGACTTTTGTTTTTGGTTCGGGGGCTGGGAGTGGGCGGGCTTGAAGGGGCAACATGTGGTGATACTGGATGATTGATGGCAGATCTGTTGAGGGTGCGGAAGGACAGTTACTGCTTGGCTCACTTGGCTTTGAAGGGCACTCGTGGCACCGTGATCCTTAACCTTGAGGGTCGATCATGCAGTTTTGCATTTTGGGCGCGGTGAGCTTGAGGGAGCTGGATATCGACATCCTTATCATCAAGGCCATGGACTTCGTGGCCTTCAAGTCGGGGGTTTTGGTTGTCTACGGTTTGGTCTGTCGTGTCAAGTCGATTGGCGGCGCGGAGTGGGGCTTTTGCTTCCAGATTTCGGGACAGACATGCTGGTCGTTTGCACGCCTTGCTACGAAATCTCGTTGTCCCTAGCCCTATGTCGCTTGGCTCTGTATAAACGATATTGACAGCATTGGAGACAAGACGGGCCGAATCGGAGGAGGCGAGCTGCCACCTGCTCAGATTGAAACGACTGCAAGTGCAGGTTGAAGAAGACGACGCAACAGGAACTGAGACCGCCATTCAGGCAATGGCAGAAGTTGGTTCATCAAAACTCCTATCATTCTTTCTTTCAAGATCAAGAGAGCCATACCGCCCCACCAAAGTATGCCGAACTTTACCACGGGGCTCTATTATCCGACAAGTCCTTGCAACATCTTTGTCTACCTGGGACGTGTTTATCACGCATGTATGCTGCCTCCAAGCAACCCCAGCCAAGGCAACAACATTCTCGGCTCTACCGGCCAAGTTTGATCCAGATCCCTTGTCTCAATCATCAACTTTTTCAGTGCGATTGCAATGGTTGATCGACGGCTTATGAAACGGGTGATATTCGGAAGGCATCCCTACCAGGTTCTTTGACCGTGGTCGAGTGAGGTGTTCGAACCAATGGGTGGCTATGGAGTGAACATCCGCTGCCGTGATGTTGCTTGTCAGAAAGATGCATTTTACATGTTGTTTGCGAATCCGATCTATACACCGGAGGGCCCTGTGGCGTCGATGACTGCATTGGAAGGATAGGAGATCCTCCAATATCAAGGCCGTGTTGTCTGTGATAGCCTCCCGTTGGTTCTTGGCCGGTTTACGCAGAAACCTGGCGTCGGATGGCACATCCGCGCGCGGCAGGCAAACAGGCAAGACGGCAAGACGGCAAGACGGCAAGATCAGAGACACAAGACTCCGGAGTGGGTGGGGCAAACAGGACGGGACCGGTTCCAAGTGTGCTCGTGCACCCGGCGCTGAGACCGAAGTGTGACGGACCTGCGGCCGAGGAGGAGGTTTGTTCTTGGTGGCAACCCTTAGTTGGACAAACCGCTTCGCGCCCTCGGCCGCCTCGAAGAGACATTCAGATATTGCGAAGAGGAATATAGGGACCACGAGGAACGGGTGCCACAAGGTCAATGGCGAATATGTTATGCGGATGCGAGTGTAACAGACTGCCCGAGATGCACTTCATGATGTTCCCTGGACCCCTAAAGCCATCATGCCACCAACGTGTTGATCAGCAATATGTTTCTCCTTTGCTTCGTCTTTCCTGGCACCCATATCGTCCCTAACATACCTGTATGCTTGAAAGGGAAATCCCCTCTGATCTCAAGTCATAGCAGTCTTGAGGTTTCCAAGAGAACAAACTTCCAAGTCGAAGGAGCATTGCCAGTTTGATACTAGTTGCCTAGACTGATATACCCTACCCGTGTTTCTTGAACAAAGCTGTTTGGGTTGATATTCGAGTCTTACACGGTACAGCCTACGGTCGGCTAACAGTACTACAACCGCATGTTTAGAGGTATGGATCAAATCAAGGGAGATTCTCTGCATTTCTCCATAGCGGGAAATCTGCTGAACAGATAACAGCAATGCATACCTACTAGGCGAAGTTCTCGAGCACAGATGGACCCAGAAACAACGGGGCAGGTAGCCTCAATCTTTGCTTTCATATGTTCGAATCCATGAGTCCTACCCTCGCCTTATGAAATTCTTCTCCATTTTCCCCAGATCTAGTGTGTATCCACCAAAAACATGGGTTATTGAGAGCTAATTCGACAATGGCTTGCATATACTGTACTCCGCTTTTGACCTCTTACCTTTCTTCCTTGGGACCCTTTGGAAGACATCTGGTTGACTGCTAACGGCAGCTGATATAGATTCCACGAGATGGATATAAAGGGATGGTCCACGCGACCAGTGACATGGACCTGCCAAATCTGATTTAGTTAGATCAATTCATCTCTTCTCATCATCATCCCTCTTTACGTCTACACACTAGTTTCAATACTTGATGGTATCCCCAGCGGAAGGCATTACTCGTTTTGTTCAACCACCTACAAACGCCTTGAAGACATCTTCATGCAACACATCCGTTCCACTCCTTTCCTTTTCCTCCCTACCACGCATCCATACACGACTTGAGACTACCCCGCTCAGCCCATCATGTCGAGATGGAGAAGATGGGTGCGAGGAAGAGAACGGCCGCGGGAGGAGGGTTGTTGCCGTTGGATGAAGACGGGTTGAAGATAGGGGAGGGGAGGGGAGGATACAAGAGGTTGTGGTTGCTGAGGGATGAGTGCTGTTGGGAATGATTGACGCTTCGTTTCTTGACTTCTTCTTTTGATGCTTCTGTTGATGGAGCTGGGAGCATGTTTTGATACCCCCTTTTGGCGTTCTCTTGCAAATTGGGGCTTGGACAATTTTTGATATGGTTTGCCCTTTCTGGGCTTAGGAATTGGAATTTGGATATCATCATGGAATTCGGATTAGATGAGCAAATAGATTGATCTCCCACACATCTCGGCATTCTTCAGTTCCAATGTGTTAGCCCGCAGTTGGCCGACAAATATATCTGTTAGTAGACCGGCCACAATATCGGCTTTACACTAATGGAAATGATACCAAAGCACGTACCTGCTATTCCATCCCATCTAAATCGCCAACCCCACCATGACTTCCAATCTGACATTGACCTTTTCACCTCACGACACTCCCATCCATCATTTTCCCCACTGACAATGCCAGAAACACCAAAAAAAAACACCCTCATTTGTCTCTCCGCAGCGTGTGTACGGTAACACTGGGCCTGGAAATGGTCGTGCAACATGGAACGTGGTAGTTTCCCCGCATAACATGACCAGCCTCGATCGGCATGTGCTCGGATACGAAGATTCTTATTGCTCCGCCAGACACACGACCGTCATCGACCAGCTGCAAGCCTACCGTCGTTAGATTGCTCGCATGGGGACGCAAGAGAGATTGCACCATCCGGTGAGATGGAAGGCAGGACAATAAAAACACCCAGACCCGTCTTTAACAGAATTCGACATCCCTCGCTCCTCCCTTCCAACTTGTCAAGCCGAAGAGGGCATACGAGAGCAAGACGGACTCAGGCCGCGAATAGCTTCACTCCAGTCTCGCCAGTCACCCACCACCACCATCAAGATGAAGGCCCTAACAAGCATACTCACCCCAATCCTGGGACTCATCCCAGTTCGCCAACTCTCACCAGAACCGCAACCCCAATCCCAATCTCAAGTCCAACCACCCTCATCATGCCCGGACTACTCCTCCTACGCCAAAACCCGTCACCCTCCCTATTCCAGCGGCCGCCACTCCCTCTCTTACCAACGCCCTTCTCCCCAATGCCGAACCTTCAACTCCTCCATCATCGAATCCTTCATAACCAACATGTCCACCGTCATCTCCGACCCCGACCACTACCGCCTCTTCCAAAATACCTACCCCAACACCCTTGACACCGCAATAAAATGGCACGGCGTGGCCGCCAACAACTCCGCCGAAGAACTCACCTTTATCATCACCGGGGACATCAATGCGATGTGGCTCCGCGACTCCGCTAATCAGTTGGCTTCTTACCTCCCTTTCCTCACCCCTTCTTCATCCAGGGACTCCCTAGCTTCGCTCTACCGGGGCATCACAAACCTCCAATCCCGCTACCTCCTAACTTCTCCCTTCTGTAACTCCTTCCAACCGCCCTCCGAATCCGGTATCCCACCCGCCAGCAACTCAGCCGCTTCGTCAGATACCGTCTTCCCCCCCTACGACGCCTCCAAAGTCTTTGAGTGTAAATACGAGCTCGACTCTTTGGCCAGCTTCTTCCAGATCTCGGCACAATACCACGCCGCAACAAACGACACCGCCTTCTTCGGCAAATTCCAATGGCTCGACGCTGTCCAGATAGTCCTGGACACCGCCAAGAAAATGATGACGCCCACTTATGGCCCCGACGGCCAGGTGCTCGATAGTCCGTACACTTTCACGAGGATGACGACGCGGACGACAGAGACGCTAGCCAACGATGGTTTAGGAAGTCCAGTGGCGAGAGACACGGGATTGATAAGGAGCGCGTTCAGGCCGAGTGATGATTCGACTTTGTTCCAGTTTTTGGTGCCGAGTAATATGATGTTTGCCAGATACGCGGGGGATGTTGCTGATATTGTCGAGGCCCTTTCTTCGCTTGCGGATGCCCAGCCTGAAACCGGATCTGGATCTGGACTTAAAGCCCCCCCGCCAGGTTTGGGGGAGGAGTTAGCTGCTCTATCAACCTCCCTCCGTGCGGCCATAGAAAAACACGCCATCATCACCCTCCCCTCTCTTTCCCCCTCCCCCAACACCACAGAAACAGACTCAAAGACAGAAGTAATCTACGCCTACGAAATCGATGGCTACGGCTCTTTCAATCTGATGGACGACGCAAACATCCCTTCTTTGCTCTCCTCCCCTCTCTTCGGCTTTTTATCCCCGTCCGACCCCATCTACCTTACCACCCGCGCCCGGATCCTAGGGAATAACACCAACCCCTACATGATGCACGGACCAGTCATCAATGCCGTGGGAGGACCGCATGCGGGGCCGGGGATGGCGTGGCCTATGGGTAGTATTGTGCGGATCTTGACTAGTGATGACGACGAAGAGATTTTTGGGACACTGAAGGAGTTGGTGGGTAGTACGGATGGATTGGGGTTGATTCATGAGAGCGTGAATAGTTGGGATGGGAAGAGGTGGACTAGGGAGTGGTTTTCTTGGGCTAATGGGTTGTTCGGGCAGATGATTTGGGATTTGGGGAGGAGGAAGCCGGAGTTGCTGGGGAGGAGTTATCAGTAGTTAGGTCCCTGGGATATGATCCAAGGGAGTATGGTAAGGGGTACGGTATGGAAGGGGAGGTACACGGTGTTGATAAGTGGAAGTAATAGTCGAGCTACTGATATCCAAAGCCTGTATTGCAATCCTTCTATCTAACAACGCCCATATTTATTTCTCTTTGCCCCTATTTTTTTGATCCTAAAAGATCAAAAGCAAACGAAATAGTAAGATCTGATTCCAACGACAACCACGCAGGTTCGACGCCCGGGTATCGTAAGCAAGAGTTGATGTACAGTTTTCTCTGATCGTGAGAGCGCATAGCTGGAAGGCTTTTGGTCATGTACATGATCATTACTCGTCAGGCACACCACCCACTACTTCTAGTCACGGTCATTTTTTGTCGACCTGACGAGTACTCGACCACCCTACCTACCAAGCTTCAACACCTTGTTATAGGCACGTCTCATTCCCCTAGGAGAGTGCGGAAGTAAACGTAAAAGACCAACGCACACTCACACACCCCGTTTCAGGCCGCTGGATTTACCTTGCACTCCGAATCCCACCCCCACCCAAACTCTCCCTATTAATCCTCACCACCGTCCTCCCTTGCTCCTCAAAATCCACATAATGCGGACTCGGCACCGGTGGCGCCCTACTACCAGCACTCGGCGTCGCAGTCAGCGGCACACTAGGACTACTCGTGCTCGCCACGCTAGGCGGCATCGGCCAGTTCAGCTTTGAGGCCGTCATCATGGCGCTGTGGATGCTGAGGGTGCTGACACTTCCGATGCTGGAACGACGACCACCAAGACCACCGTCTCTGCCTCCGTCATCCGGTGATGGAGGAGTTGGAGGTCCTAATACCGCTGGTGAGACGGGCGAGACGGCGGTGGGAGGGGTGAATGCTGAGCTGATGTGCGTGGGCGGAGGAGGGCCGGAGATTATTGATACTGATAGGCGGCTGCGGCTGGGGTTGGCGGAATGGGTTGTGCCCCTAGACTGCGGGGGAGGTGGAGGAGGAGGGGCAGGGCGAGGAGCAGTGTGAGATGATCCTGTCGGGAGAAGGCGCTCGGAATTGTGTCTTTGGTGCATCAGCGGTTGTTGGCCTTGTTGGAATTGAGGAGGAGTGTTGCGCGTGGAAGTAGAGTCTGTAGATCCATGTCCAGATCTGGCTCCTACAGCGGCGGCACCGGCGGCGGCACTGGCAGCTAGTCTGGTATCCAAAAGAGAGCTCCTGGTGTCTTCTTGATTGTGTTTTCCGTATGGAGAGTTGTCGCGGCGGGAGCTCCTGCGTTTTCGAAAGAAGAGGATGACGATGGAGATAACAAGGAGGAGGACGACGCCGACTGGAGACTTTGAGTTAGTTTGGAATGGTACCGAGGCATGGTAGGTAGGTAAGAGAACATACCGATGATACCGGCTATAGCACCGCCTCCAAGCCCACCATTTGAAGCTTGAGTATTTGCCGCTCCGTTTGAGCCTCCACTCTGGTTATTTGAGCCTGAGCCCAAATTGCTGGAACCTGCAACCCCTGATGTTGCCTGAGGTCCAGATGAGAAAGTGAGGGCTTGCGTGTCGATTACCAATGTGTCACCGCCACCATTGTACTGGGTTGCAAACGTGGTCTGTCCGGTTCTATTAGGGTCCTCGAAGACAATTGTAACGGAAGCAGGTGAATCCAATATACTCGTATGAAGGCCTGTGTGAACTGGTGGCCCTTCATTAGGTAGTAGAGTCGGCAATGTCATTGCTCCCCCGTTGCCCCCTTGGGTATTCGTTGGCTGTCCCTGCGCTGCTGTTTGTGTCGGATTGTTCGTCTGTCGTTGTGTCGTGCCGGGACTATTGGCAGCAGTCGGTGCTGGGTTGGCCGTCGTTCCAGTGTCTCCCCCATTGTTGCCACCGCCTTGTCCTCCATTGTCTCCCTGCGAATCTCCATCTGCTGGGGATGCCCCGCCTCGTGGATTTAACCTCGGATTCTGATTCCCATAACCTCCATGGCCTCCATAACCAAATGACCAGTTCCTTCCTTCATGTTGCTTTTCTCCCATTTGCCTTTTTCCCGGCATTGATTTGGTGTGTAGATGTTGGTGAGGCATGCCTTATTCCCAGTCCATCCGTCTTGGGTTGTCTTTGCCGTTGTAGTTGTATTCTGTTAGATCTGAGAATTGTCGTCGTACAGAGTCCTTCCTGTCCGTTGTCAAGACGAAGGCTGAGTCGAGATGGCTTAGAATACTCGTGACGTCGTCTTCCCAATTAATTCCAAACGAGTCGAATATCCAAGTCTACAAAGCGTCTTTCTGTCGTCTGGCCAAGTAATATGGAGAAGAGAAAGAGACAGGAGGACAGGTAAAGAACGGGAGAAATGGAAGCATGCTAGAAGCAGGGAAAGCCAGGGAAGCAAACAAGTCTTGTGGCCAGGGTAGTACAATGGTATGTATGGGATTCGCCGAGCAGAAGAAAGGAAGGACGAAGAAGAAGATGAAGAAGCAAAGACATGACAGCGGACCAGGGCCGGGGCCGGGGAATATTACTCTCCCTCATGTCCCCTCATCCCTCATCCCGGGAAAAGCCATCGTCAGGTTTGGCGCATGTTTGTCTTCGGGTGGTGGAAATGGACAAGATCTGCCCTTGTGAAGAGAAGGATTTCACAAGGCAACGGAAATAGGAAAGGTGTGGTGACAGTAATATGCTTGGCCTACAGTTGAAGCCGGGGGTCTGTTAGGCTGGCAGCTGCCGTTTAGTGCCGCAAGGTACGGGACCACAGGCTGGCACCTGCAAACTGTAGGGGGAGGGGAACGGGGAAAGACCCCAGAGGCCCGGGTTGTGTGAATAATGCGTGCAGTGACCCCCGGGCCTTGGTGGCTTGATGTTGTGCCTGTCGCTCTTTGCCCAGTCGGGATACCTCTACACAGCGTGCATGGGGCACAGGCTGCCCACTGTATTAGTGTAACCCCAACTGTTCTTTATTTCGTTTCAAAGCCCTGCGAGTGGATGAGGTGTTCGTCCGGCTGGTCTTCCCCTCATCCCGCGGCGTCCCCAACCTAACAAGATTCTCTTCCGATATCAATCTGTCCTTTTTTTTTTTTTAGCTTTTCATTTCTCCTCGGTATCTTCCATCAATTTACACCATCCAAAATACATCTCCGCAACATCTGCTGTTCAGTCTACATACCTCGACCGTTGAGTTGCGTGGCCCGGGCCGCTGTCCTCCCCACTTCTGTTCCCGTCCCTCTGGTCTCTGCCGCTCATTTAATCACTAGCAGGTTTCACCACTGCAATGCAGGTTGCTGTCGTCAGATTACGCGGGGACCAAAATGCTCTCGGACTTCTACCATGTCTCCTTGCAAGCGCTATGCTCGGTAGTAACGGCGCTACAGTTCAGTGGAGTCCCATCCGCAAAGTTAGGCGGATTAGCGGATCTCACGGAAGGACTGCTAAGAATAATCCCAACTCGAACCGTTCAGAGATCATCGTGATCGCCAGCGCCAAACCCTATGTGAGTCCATTTATCTGGAGAAAGAGACGTTCGAGGCTGGCGACATGCAAGTGCCATCACACTGAGAGATTTCTTTTATATTACCTATCTTTTCTACACAGCTGCTCGTCTCTCGGGGTTGAAGCCAAGTCGAGTTCTGAACTCCTTTTCTATGGCCTCAATCTCTACAGGCACCCGGCCGGCCCTGGGGGCTGTTAGTGTTTATGAATAGGGGCTTCGCTGCGCCCCCCCCTGGCCACGTCCGAGATGTTAGCGTAAGACTTGATTGTTTTTCGTCACTCGCTTCTATATCTACAATACTCATCCTGTTTTCCAGAAAGGACACGAAATCGATGCAGATCTGCCATCATACCGGTCTCCCTTTTGCTTGAACCGACCGAGGCCTGAGGATGCTTTCATGTGAGATCAAGCTGGACGATGCTCGTATCTCGAAAGCACCCTGGTATGGAATCCACCAACGCTCATGTCGAGGTACTTAATCTCCCCCATATCTCCAATCTCGTTTACTTTTGACATCACAAAACTCAGGTCAGGCCCTTTGTTCGTCTCGTGGATGTCAGAAGCTTTGACTTTCTGGTCAAACCTTCGTGCCAGATAATTGGGGGATGCTGAAAATCTGGTGAATTTTCCTTGTGAAATCATTGGACGCAACCCAAGATATAGAATAGTGCTGGATTCTGGAGGGGAAAGGGAAACCGACCAGAGAATGAAAAGCCATGACATGACAATACACATTCCTCGTTACCCTCCCTGTCTGTATCAGCCATTATCCCTCTGACATTCCCCGGCCTTTCTTCACGCTTAATGACTTCCTGCTCTGGCTCGCGACACGATATCTCCTTCACGCGAGATGCACTCCATAGACTAAGCCGCCCTGCACATATGTATCACTGGGCCCGCAGGTGGTCATTCACCACTCCCATGCGGCCATCACCATATCTACCGGCTCGTCAGCAACCGGAGATATGTAAAAGGCGAGGGAGACAGATTCTATTGGAGCCCGCACTCTGTTGTTGCCAAAGGGAGGAATTTGACGCAAAGAACTTGGATCAGTTGGTCCTGCCTCTGAGACTTCCGGACTTTCCCCAACGCCGTTCCCGAGTTACTTAAACTCCAACAGAACGGCCAAACCACTTTCTACCTTTGCACGGAACTCAAATTTCGGGTCTTCAAGAATTCGTTCGAAACCATGCCGCACGCATCCTCCTCTAACATGGGCAAAAGTCCCAACGACTCCCGTTATCCTAACGGGTGGCACATGGATGACCGGATGCCTCATCATGACTCCTTCCAGCAGCTGTGGGAGACCAAGTGGAAGGATCCGGTATTGCATCCAATGTTCTATCCTAGATGTTTACCGCGTAGCAGATAGTTGCTGACTGACAGAAATACAGTGCTCCAAGGGCATCTACCCTTTCATGTTCGGCTTCATCCAAGACTTCCAGCCCATCGTCGAGGACATCATCGCCAAAGGGCTGAAAGAGCCTTACAACTGGGATGAATACGCCAGTTGCTTCTTCGGGACCGCCGAGCAGCTCGGCCAGATGGCAGCTGTTGCTCAGCAGGAGGGGGATACAGACAAGGCGAGGGATTGTTACCTGTTAGTAGCTCTTCCTTTACCTATCAACCCAGGATCCAGACAAACTCCAACCCCTCATCATTGGATAAACATAAACTGACACAGTACAACAGCCGCGCCTCAGCAGTCTACCGCATAGCTCGCTTCCCCATCCCCCGCTCCCCTCTCCAGAAACTCGCCTGGCAAAAGGGTAAAGAGATGTTCTACCTAGGTGCCTCGCTCATGGAGTACCCAATTCACGAAGTCCTCATCCCACACATCCACGCCTTACCCTCCTCCAGCGAAGAAGGCTCCGTCATCCCCGTCAACCTCCTCATCCCACCCACCGCCACCCCCACCTCCCCCTGCCCCTTAGTCCTGATCATGACCGGCTTAGACGGCTACCGCACCGAGCTAGCCGTCTGGCAGCGCGGCTGGCTCGATAAAGGCGTCGCCACTTTGGTCGTCGAAATCCCCGGCACAGGCGACAGTCCCGCCTTACCCCAAGACCCTCAAAGTCCCGATAGACAATGGTCTTCCGTCCTCGACTTCATCTCCCAGCACCAACCCCGCATAGACAAGCAAAAGATCATAGTCTGGGGATTTTCCACCGGCGGATACTACGCTTTTCGCATCGCACACACGCACGCCTCTCGTCTACTAGGAAGCGTCAGTCTAGGAGGCGGATGTCATCACATGTTTGATCGCGAATGGCTCGACAAAGTCAACAATCTCGAGTATCCCTTTGACCTAGCGGATACGTTGGCGTACAAGTTTGGGTATGCCCCCACCAAGGAAGGGCTTGAACAGTTCAAGAAGGAAGGACAAGCGAAATTCTCGTTGTTGGTGGATGGGACGCTTGCAAAGGCGGACACAGAGGGGTGTTGTAAGAATGTGTTGCTGGTGAATGGCGAGTGGGATCGGATTTTTCCAGTAGAGGATTTGACGCTTGCGTTGAAGTTTGGAGGGATAAAATCGAAGCCAAAGGAGGCGAGGATTGTGAGTGAGAAATGGCATATGGGTGAGCCCGAGAGCTTTGTGGTTATTTTGAGGTGGATTCATGAGTTACTTGGGTTGGATGGGGATTGGATGGGGCAGTTGAAGGGTTGGGGGCTAAAGCCAAGCGATGTGAGTAGGTATGTATATGATGGCGTGGGAGGTGATGATTACTCTATAAAGGTATTCGGGATCTCTGAGGGCAAGTTGCGGAGGGGAAGGTGTTAAACAATCACGTTTGTCTTGGAGGCAATCCTTGAGCTTCGGAATAACAGAGAGCTCTGTGATGGACGGGCAAGAGGTCTTGAACATTATAATATTACAATAACAAGTTGCCAATTAGTGAGTGAGTGTCTGTAGACACCTATGCTTGACGACGCTACACGTATCGTCAAGCTCTATAGGTAGACTGTCGGCAGTAAACCCATGCTCCACATCAGTCAATGTATCTCGAGCTCCAGTCCTGCAGTACATGCTCCTTAACGCCCGCTTCTAAATACAACTCGAGTCTTTGTCGTTTCGGCTTTGTGCTACCGAGTGGTACAATCCTCAATCCCATGAAGCCAAGCGCTTGAATGAAGCAACAAAAAACAAAAATCCACCAACTTTTCCTAAACCTGTAAATGCACCCATAGAGGTAAAAGACCTGACTCTGGCCAACTGTGAACTGACCAGCTGCTCATAGAGTCACGCTCAATAGTGCCCGTAAACTTTCACACATCAGAGCATCTCATGTGTTCCCGTGCCAGTTACTATCGTGGTGTACAGTTCCAGTCCTCCCAGCCATTACGTCGGGGGTATGTCTCACATGCACCCCATCACATTCTCTTTCGGCAGTTCCCAAATCTCAAGGTCCCTTAGAGCCATGCATGCATCTGACAGGTCACTTCACTTCACTCCACGTCAACATCCACATCCACACCCCTCTTCGGCCCCTTCGCATTAAAAAGCAACATACAACCCACCAAACGCGTCTCCACAAACTCGAAATTCTCTCTCAATCCCCTCTCAAACATCTCCCGCTCATCTGCCCAGTTTCCAAATACTCCAGTCGCATTGTAACACTTCATGACTGACCACGTCATGCCTCTGCTCCAAGCCGACGGTTTCTTTCCAGTTGTTGTACGTCCATGTACAGCTTGAGCACCCTTGATCTTTCCGTTTTTCTTTACTCCCGATCCCGATCCCGATCCCGTGCCGGACGAACTCGGGCGAGACATGGATGAAGAGCCACCTGAAATGTACTTCCGACCTAGGATCGTGCAACCAGCTAGGACTCCGTCATCGGCTAGACACTCGGCTGCGAGTTTGAAGGTGCGGTTTTTAATTTCTTGGCCGTGGCTACCATGCGGATCTTCGGGGTCGGAAGAAGGAGCAGAGGGAAGACAGTGAAGGAGGTTGAACATGCTGACGGATTGGAAAGAGTGTCTCGAGATGGTGGATTTGGATCTGGAGGTTCCATCCGAGTTTGAGGCAGAGTCGAAATCCGTGTCCATGTCAGGACCGTCGGAAAAAAGCTTGCTGCCGCCGGGTCCGGTAAGTGTGAGTGACTCGTCCAGCACGTCGGCTTGGATGGTGGTGACGCTGATGGACACGTTGGCTTTCGGTCGGGCTGGCTTGCCGAGGATGGGCATGTTGTTCATGTTGTCGGCAGGGGCACTTTTGCCGTTACCGTTTTTACCCTTTCCGCTCTTGCCCTTTCCGGTTTTGCCGTTACCGTTTTCGTCCCTCACGTTAACCCTCGCTTTCCACTTGTCAACAACCCCCATAACCCTCTTTCTAGCCATCTCAAGCGCCTTGCCATTCAAATCCATCAGCGTGATGTCAACCCTGGGCTGGACCAGTTTCCTATCCGGGTCCCTCTCCAGTGGCATGAGATCCTCGTCCTTAGCAAGTCTCTCGGTCAAAGAATCCGCCACGAAGAAACCCGTCCCCACCCCATGTCCAGGTGCTTCCCGGCCCGAAAGTTCTGGCGGAAGAAAGGCACGAGAACGGCGGAGGAGGGGCACCGCCAGAGGTGGGTCATGCTGAAGCCCAGGACGTATTTGTCGTAGGTGGTCAGCATGAGGGGCTTGCTGTAGATGCTGGCGCCCGGTTTGGTTTTGATCTTGATCTTGGGGGCAGCCGAGACGGAGGGGAGGGGGGTGCTGGTCTTGGGAGTGGTGCTGGCGGCGAATTTGGTCGCCGCAGTCTTTGTCGTCCCGGGACGAGGAGGAAGGGGTTTGGAGGTGTTGAGGGTGGGTGCCGCCGGGGTTGGGGTGGCGGCGTTGAGAGAAGGTGAGGCCATGGTAATGGCGTCGTCTTTGTCGCTGGTATTGCCAGCTGACGTAGCCATCTTTGAAGGACTGGCTGGGAGTATAGATCTCTCGCGAGATTTTTGTGCTTTGTTTGGGGTGTGATGTAGAGTTGAGGTATAGCTTACTTCCGCGGGACGTAGAAGCTGCTTTTATGGAGTTAGAAGAAAGAGTTTGCGGCTGACAGATTGAAGAACACAAACATAATACCTGAGAAAAAGTTGAGGTTGACACATCAGTAGGTACTCTTAAAAGTTTGTTAGTGCGGTTCTTGTAACAAGGGTGTGCAAAAATTCATAATAAAACAACGGGATAAGCACAGTAAAAACGGAAAATTGAAAGGAGTGGATGACGCGAGGAAAACGCACTGGGTTGATATCAGCTTTTCGCATGAAATTTGGTGGAGTGTTGGTTAAGTTACAGAAAGGACGTTGTGAAGTATTGCGCTAACTAACTTACCAGTACTGATGTGTACTCCCGCGGAACGTTGGAACTGCTTTTTGGAGTTAAAAGAACATAAAAGAGTTGTGGCTGACAGGTTACAGAAGACGGAGAAAATAACTGAGGAAGAGGTGAGGTTTACTTCCGTGGGACGTTGAAACTGTTTCTTGCAGTTAGGAGAAAGAGTTTGCGGCTGACGGATTGCAGAAGACGGAGGTAATACCTGAGGAGAAGTGGGGGCAAAGAAACTGGTTGAAGGGTGCAGAGATATAGACCGCCGCAGACTCGGTTGATGAAATCTCGAAAGTCTGCATGCCCGGCGAGTATCTCGGTTTCTTGTTACCGAAGTGGGTTGATCTTCTCAAGTCTCAGCCGAGGGGCAATCTTTCCGAGTCGGCACTCTGATAGCGCCACGAGTCTGTTTGCGCGCAAACCCGTCAGCTCTTTGATCTGCTTGCGCTTTCAACGTGTCGATAAGCGAATCTTGACGGGTAACACGTCAAACCGGATAAAAGGACGTGCGGAAATAAGGAAACTTGGTGTGTAAGCCGGACTTAGTGGGGGCCAACCAGAAGTCAAACGGGTAGTATTATAGAGTTGCTTTATAGGCTGTTGACTATTAACAATGTGTTTCTCAGTCTTACCTAAGCAGTGACCAGAGGTTTGGGGTTGAATCGGGACAAGAGCCAAAGTGTGTTGGTAGCGTCGTTGGTTGTTTGTGCGAGTCTACCTCCATGTCTGTCAAGTTAGCCAGTTGAATTTTGAGAATAAGAGAGGAAATAGTATTGATTGGATGCGGAATACGGAAATTCGTTATTGGAAAGAGTGAGCACTGACCTCTTTACTTAGAGGAAAAAAGGCAAAACCGAAGATGTATGCCTCTTTGACACTCGCGAATCCTGGGGCAGTACGAGTATCTGAGAAGCTTCCATTATATCGAGGATGTAACCACGATTTGTAAAGAATTAAGTGAACGCGACAAAATTGACAGACGCGAAGATCTTAACAAAAGGAGTGGGAGACGCAAACTTATTGAGATTCATCTGAACAGGGTCATTTGCTTTCAGATCTCACACCGCAAATCCGATAGCTATCCGCCCGGTCTCGTAACCCCATTCTATTCTCGATAAAGAAGGAAATAGGAAACAACGTTCGGCCGAGTACTTCTAGCAATCAAGCCACGAAGTCTAGAACCTATCATGAGGCTCACCCCGCATATTCCATACTCCTTTCTCGGTCTAGTGCCGGCACTGGAATGTGTCTTCTTTCCCCCTCAGGGTCATAACCTTCTCCCCGCATTAGCATACTTGCAGGTAATCAGTTTTTGTAGATGAAGAGTCTCCATCTGGCCTGGTTGAGCCAGAATCTGCTGGAGACTATGGGTAAGTCCTAATTTTTTTTGGGTACCTACAATTGAGTGTTCGAATCACAATCGAGAAAGGAGCAAGCTTCAAGGGACTGAATGGCGTGTGTGAGGCATCCAAGGGCTCACTCGAAGAGAATAGGTATGAGGTATTCGCAAAAAGAATGGAACGGATCGGTGAGATAGGAGCCAAGGCAGTACACCTGACGACTGCAAAAATCTGGAATACCACAGCGGAAAAGTTCTCAGGCAAAGAGATCAAGTACTCAATGGATGGAAAGCTTCACAATTGTGCCTGTAAACTCAAAACTAAACTTGAGAGGTTGGAGTGGCACTCACGCCGGGCTGGTCAACGGAGTGGCTCCTTCTACTTCCAGAAATAAAAGTTCACAAAACCTAATTTCCCAAGAAGCAAATTCACGACAGCTCTTTCCCGGAATCAATGGCGCAAGTCCTACGAAGCTATCGCACCTTCTTTAAAACACTGGACCAGTGCAACAGGAACGAGTCAAAATAGCAGAAGGGAGGCAGGAAGGATGAGAATTTGGAATTTGGAGTCACAGGGAAAGGCAGGCAGTGGTATTAGGACTTCATTATCGAGTGTCAGGATCAAAATCTCACCAGCGAGGATGGCATCAGCATGATAGTCAAGTGTTATTAGCGAGCGAACTGAGTGATGTGAACTTCGAGCAATCTCTATCTCGGAAAGCTGAACCTGAACTCCCGAAACTCCCTGCCGAAAACCGTGATCTGTGACGGAACTCAAGACCAGTGCACTCCCCCTCTCCTATGAGTAGTTCGAGTATCCTCCCCTTATTGTTGCCGCATTGATATCGTACTTTATCCTTTCGCAGTCCGGTCCGATCCGAAGATTTACATGACAACGCAGCACCCGGCTGCTCCAGTCTTCTATAATCCGCACACAACAATAAAAACCGAACATAAACTCCAAACGCTGCCGGACAGACAATGTCTTATCCCCAAATATTCCGCCCGCCAACCCACCATGGCAAAGTTCATGGTATGAGTCCTCCAAACGCCAACGCCATATCCCAACGCAGGCCTGCTGCCGTTCCCAAAACACCAAACATGCCCATGAAAATGCCCATGTAAACAGACACCACGCTTATTCTCAAAGACGCCACCCATGCTGCTTGATCGATTAAGGCTAACAACCCCTTTGCAACGCTTGCTTGTGACTTGCTCTCTTCAAACTAAGTGGTCTCACGACACACATGTAGCTTCCAAGAACAAGCCACAAGCGTCGCAAAGGGCTGTCCAATCCAGGTCCACCGCTTACTGCTGGTAGGGGCCGGCCGGAGGAGGATGAGGTGCCGGGTAGCCGCCGTAGGGGGCGGGCCCGCCTCTCCATAAGGAGGAGGAGGAGGAGGAGGAGCCGCGCCAGGACCCTCGGGTGGAGCATATGCCGGGTAGGCCATCGGTTGACGAGGAGGCGGCTCCGGGACAAAAGGCAGGTGGCGGCGAGCCGTCATCTTGATTTGGGCACGAATGCCCCACTTGAGGACGGCCAGGGCGACCGTCATCGACGCCAGGGTGTGGTCGCCGGACGAGTTGACGACGTGGTCGTCACCCCACGCCGGGCCGTTGGCCGCCTGCATCGGGCAGACGCTGATGGTGAACAAGGTCGAGCGGCCCATCTGCCGCACCGCCAAGGCGATGAGAGGGCGGATGGTGTCCGCTTGGCCCTCGGCCCGGATGTAGTGGTCGTAGTAGGCTACGACTAGAGGCGAGGAAGAATGAGTTAGTCCCTACACTGCGGGAGTGAGGTTGGGAATTGTGTGTGGTAGGTTGCTTACCCTGATCGTCATGCGGAGCAGGGGGAGCCTCAGCTTTGGAGACATGTTCTGTCAGTTCTCAGTTCTTATGGCAGGAGGATGGATCGCCTATTGCTCACCAAGTGCGCGGTTCTCGAAACCGCCTTGACCCCAGCCCTGACCGTGATGCAGGTCTGCTGTAAAGACAAGCTGAATTAGTTCTCATTTTCGATGAGGCGAGGAGGAGGAATCTCTCATCACTTACGAGCGACAGCAGCGGGATTTCCAAAGCCGCCATGGCCCCAGCCCTCATCCTGGCGCATGGTTGCTATAGAAACAAGCTGAGTTAGTTCTTATTCGTGATGGAAGAGGAGGACAGTAGATCTTTTATCGCTTACCAGGGCCGTGAGGAGGCGCGAGAGGAGGGGCGATAGGAGGGGCGATAGGAGGGGCGATAGGAGGGGCGACAGGAGCGCGGTTGTCGAGGCCCATAGGACTCAAACCCTCTTCGCGACGACCGGCATCTATGAACGCAAAGATCAGTTAGTTCTTGTTGACGTTTCAAGTGAGTGAGGAGGATAGATCGTTCAGTGCATACCATGGGCAGGGAAAGGCGCGCGGTTCTCACGGTTCTCACGGCGACGCAGGTTGCGCCTGCGCCGGCGCTCGCGCTCGGCCTCGGGGTGGCGGCGGCGGCGGTTGTGGTGGTTGCCGTTGTTGCTGGCGTTCATTTTGTGGATACTGTTGAGACTGTTAACTGCTGCATTCCTCTGAGACTCTGGAGAAATATTTACGAGACAAGTGCTGCTGTTGTTATTGTTGTTGCTGTTGTTGATGTTTTCGAGAAAGAGGAGGAGGAGGAGGAGAGAGTGTGGTTGCTTGAGATGGAAGAAGTTCTGAGAGAAGGACGAGAGGAAATCCGGGAAACGATTTATGAACCGACGAACGATTGTGGGGGGCACGGACCGTGGCAGGATTTCCAAGGCAGCAATACTGGTACCAGGACGACAGAAATTGATGAAGTTGGAAGGTACGGAAATAGGGAGAAGGCAGAGTGACGTTCCCTCTCGCTTCTGCGCGGGCTGGTCTCGTTGCCCCGTAACAGCTTCCATCCTGTCTTTAAAAATAACAACAACACAAAAAAAAAAAGCTTCCATCCTGTCTCTTCCCGCAATCCCGCCTGCCCTTGGGTATGTTCTTTACACCAGCTCGTATATATAGAATCCGTCGCCTTCATCATGTCCCAAGTTCTCGTCCGGGTTGTCCTTCTCTCTGTTATGCTGCGCAGCTAGTTCCAACGCTTTAAAGAATCTGCCGAGCTTGGGGTAATGCTCTGGCTCAAGCTCGGGGGAGTAGCGGTTTTTCAACTGGATGTTCAATGGTCCGTTCAGATACGGATCAGATCTCAGTAAGGCCGCCCTTTTTTCCTCGGATCCGCTAGTTAGTTCAGGGAAAACTTCATCCGTGCTATAAACCATTGAAAACGCCTTCCGTGGTTGCTTAGGTCTGTCAGAGCTGCCTTTTCTGATGGTACTCGGATCTTTAGACTTGTAGGGATTAAACCGGGCACGCGGTCTTGGACGCTTGATAGAGTCGGAGATTTCAAACACCCCCAGTCTTTCGAATTTCCCCTCCCGGCAGGATCCAGATGCGGGTCTTAAGAATAGTCCCTTGAGTCCCAGGTGCCAAAGACTTGGAATTGGAAATTGCAGGTGTACTTCGAGCGGCGCAAGGTAAACAATAGCTGACTGAGAAAGTGCTAAGTTGCGGGGTTCCTCTTCATCCCAATCCATATCTAGGGTATGCACCACAGTTGCACACTGTTCAACCAGATCGCATTCCCACCACCCATGTGTACTATCTTGGGGACTGTTAGGCTGAGATCTCACAGTAGCCCGTATCACAGGACCTTTGATACGGACGGCTCCGCCAGTTACTTGGCCGAATAAATGCATCGGTCTTGACTTAGTTACTGTAGCCTCCAAGATTGTAGCTAGGCTGTCCATGCCTGCGTCTAGGGGAGACGGCGTCGGTAAAGAGCATTCGGTGTTTAATGAAGCCCATGACCATGAAGGAGCTATGTCAGTGTTGCGTGCTTTGCTTTGTTCCCCCCCTGAGCATTTCCATAAAAGGTTTTGTCGAAAGCAGTAGGACCACAGGCCGGCAAGGTAAGTAATTCCATTCCACCCTTTGCTGAGGTTTTCTGCAAGACCAGAGATGGCTACAAGCTTATCAGATTGCTTGGTAAGGCTCCTCCGACCGGTGTATTCGTAGACCAGCAGTGCCCAGACCTTGTGTCGTTCGGAGTCATGAAGCAGCTCGCCTTTTGACAACTCCATCAGTTCAGGCAGGGGCGTATCTCTCGTCCTTGCTCTCGGTATGCGTGAGTATTTCTCTGAAGGATCAACTGGATCTGGAAAACATTCGCTTGCTTCACCCATGGAACATTCCCAGTGAAGTTCTTGTTTTCCAAAAATTAGGGTGCGTCGCGACAGGACTTGTTCTTGAAGGACCCAGCCTCTTGTGTTAAGAGCGAGCCTGTCTCTCTCGGCATTGTAACTTCCTGCCAGGATTCTGCCATCTGAAAGCGTCACAACCCAGGGCGTGAATGACAGAGGATGCCGTGCCAAAAACAAGCCTCCCTTGGAATTCAAGGACGCCCCGGCGGCGAGATTGAGGTAGGTGTTCTGGTACACAAAACACATCTTGGCGGATTCTGCTGCCCAGTCATCGGCTGAATTCTGGATGATACACAGAGAATCGATCCATAGGAACTGTACGTTTAGCCTTCGAGTTACCACTATTGCCTCCTGAAAAGTCTTTGGTAACTCGGCCAGCGCAAAGCCTTGCAATAGAGAGTCATGGTTTTCCAGCAGAAGGCGAGTGGGCACTGAACTCCCCCAACAATGGCTTAAGGTCGTATATCTTTGCTTCCGAAAATCTATTCCTGCACTCTCGCAGACCTTGGCCGTAGGACTTCCCACACTTCCTACTTCGATGAAGCGGGAGGGGTATTGCCCTTGCAGCTGCTCATGCACCATATAATTGCATGAAGGATGGTTGGAAACACAATTCTCAATCCACTGGAGCACTTGGTTCAAGCTTGCTTCACTCTCCGTGTTTAAACTGCTTGGAAAATCCCGGGCCAGGTACGCTGCAAAAACACAAAAAGGTTAGCTTCCTCAAGGAAAGAAATGGGAAGGGAAAATGGCTTACTAGGTAGTTCTTTATACCTAGTCAGTCCAACTGGGTTGGTAAGCCGGATGCGTTTACCATCTTCACCAACCAGATCGAGATGAAAATGCATATATCCCGTGGAGTTCTCATATCCCATGGAACAAAACTCCCGACAAAGTATCAGGGCCTTATTCGCTCCAGCAGGCAATGTGGCAATGGCGGGTTTTATCTCCATCTCTAACAATCCCCGTTCCGACGCAACAGGTTGCAGAGATGAATAACAGTGCACAGCGAAATCCGTGGCTTTGGGGGTAACGAGGCCATTTCTTTCGGACATCAAAACTTGAGTAGCATAAGAACAACAAAAGTGGCAGTCGCCTTTGGATGCCGAGTTGAGCAATTCGTTCCAGCTGCCAAAAGGCACCTCATCGCGGTAGAATGTGGTCCGGTCTTGTTTAGCACGGTCAAATCCCTCGCTGATGCTCTTGAACATGTTGTCACATCTTTCACAAAGACGGTTGAATGCCTCTTTCGAAAGGTGCAACTCGCCCAACGGCGTCGTATAAGTTGGAGGCATCCTGGTTCCGAGACGGTGCTCCAGTCATAGAGGATCAATGACGATGTTCGAATTTTGTGGCTTGGAAGTTGCTTTCGAGAAGAAATTGGGATCATGAAGTAGTGTCAATGAGAAGAAAGCGGGGTAACAGTAAGTTGGCGTATGTAACGTAACTGCACAATATGAATGAGTCCGCAGACATGTTTGGCAGCTAACAGCTGGTCGGCGATTAGACTACTTGAAGCGTTTAGGCCTTGACTGCATAAGGTATGCGGGTGTATTTTACGGCTGAATGTATTTTACAAGTTGTATGGTAGGTACCTTTATGCCTCCTTCCCCGGCTCAACCACCGTTCATCCAACAACTTCCACGCAGTTACGGCGTGTGCGACCTCATTCACAACATCGTTGTTTCCGAAGAAGTCGACACCGCTTTGCCGGTCACCTTACCCCATGATCTTTCTGAGAGAGAGAGGGAGGCGCGGCGGCCATGACCTCATTAGGTCGTTGGGACTGTATCGTGGTTGACATTATTGTGACAAAAATGGCTGGAACCATCGTGGGCCGTCACTGTCACAAACAGCTGGGAAAAGAGTGGACGCAGCACGGAGGCAGATTCTCGTTCGGTTCTGCAAGAGCATGTTGCTCGCGATTTTATCTTCTTCTTTCTTCTTCGAAGGTGCGCTGCCCTCGGCGAGTACCAGACTTTTCAATTCACCATCGATTGCCATGAAGAAGTCCCACGTCCTTCCAACCAGATCCCTGGTTCGCAGAGCCAATGTTGTTTAGCCAATGTTGTTTTATCAAGATTGGCCTTCAATATGGGTAAGGTAAGAAGCCAATGTCCGCAAAGTCAATGTATGTCTGAGAACGGGATCCCACAGCCCGAGCCTCTTGACCTCATGCAGCCAGCCTCGAAGAGCCAAAATCATGTCGTCAGTCATCCATGCATCAAAAAGAGCTACCTAACCCCCAGACCGGCTTCCTGACTAGCGAACGCACGATATACGTATCAGAGGATCAACTACGACCGCTGCTGGTGAACCGCCCAGTGACGTGGCGCGGTGATAATCTCAGAAAATCAGGCGTTCGGTCTTGTTTGCTACCATTACAACGGCTGTTGAGCTTGTGGTATCATGTCATCGCCGTACAACATCCGGCCTGTAACGAACCGCATGGCTTTGCTACCGGCTTTCTCTGGAATATTGACTGATAGGGGAACAGAAGTGCCAGCAAACACTTCGACCCGATGTGTCACTAGAAGGACCAGACTGCACTCAGCAATGGCAGTAAGCTCTGTTGGAACGATTCCAAACCAACAACACGGGCATGACGCACCGCTGACAGTGCCACTCACAGATACCACATAGAACCCACCACACCGGAGGGCGACAGCAAGAAGAGTGATACATGTACGAGCTATTCGGCTAGAGGGATAGGCAGACACAAAACTCCTAGCCTTTTTGTAGTCAAGCCAGTGGACACTGCTTCAAAAGTGAGCCCACCGCAGCAACTTGTCGACCGAACATGTGAAGACATGGTTGGTGTCAAGATAGGACTTCTTTGGATTTCCGTGGACTCTGTGGCCTCTCTGTGTGAGTTATGCCTCGCTTTATGCCTATTTAAGGTTGAGCCGCATGGTTTCAACAGTTCTACTTATAGCCAAGCATCTCCGTCCCCGTTGTGACTCTTGGTCGCACATGGGTTACTTTCCCCCAACTCATACCTGTGGCTATGGCATCACGGTGTTTGATATGTCGTGGTGGTAGTCAACTCGGGAATGGCGGGTGAATCATTGAGGCATTAGTGAAAGTATAAGAGTTGCTTGATGAACCCAGGCCTATTACGGTTCCAAACTAATTTTAGTCCAAGATGTCACCTCGAATTTTGAGCTTTGTGTACCCAGCTCGCAAACTGATCAATCTCAACCAAAACCCGTCACGAGAAAGGTAACAGATGCTCAAGACGAGAAATCTCACAACTCACGGTTGATTCTGGCCCTACAAATCTCACTGAGTCCTTCAACGCTCAACAGCCATGCCAGGAAACCGCCGTTACTCACCGGAGTGCATCCAGTACGCCAGCTACATCTGGCCAGCAGACTGGCAGCCAGAAGGAACATCAACACCAACCACAACCCAACATGTCTCAATCAATACCAGCAAGAACAAAATTGCGCCTGCTGTATTCGCTCCTACTACTACGTCACGCCCAGCCCTCAAGCCTTCCAACGGTACCGTTTTGTCTTATCCCGTTGCGAACAGTTTGACCCGTGGCTTCTTGATCGTCACGGCTACAGCAAGCTCATCAGCGACGCCACTAGCGTGGTGCTCTGGGCTATTTGGACGAACCTCGTCTACGACTCGCATTTGGTGTACATGAGCGTGGATTACTTTTATTTCTTGATTGATTGGTTGTTGTGGAGGGTTTATGGTTTGTTTTCCCCTTGTTTCTTCCTCCTTCTTCTATACAATATCAACAAACTCTTTACAATCAGCCCCCCCAAAAAAACACATGATTGCGTACACTTTTGAACTAACTGACAATATGGAAAACAACAGTCCCAACAGAACCCTTCCCCTTCGCCTTCCACCCGCCCACCAAAACCGGCCCTCCCTACAGCGACGTAGTCGAGTACTTCCTCTGCCGCTCAGACGGGCTGAACTCTCTAGAGAGTGTCTTTGCCAATTTGCAGTGCAGCAGCAGCAATAGCCGATACCACACGCGATGGAAGATGTTGCAAGCTATAAGAAACATTTTCAACGGACATGATTACTACGTCGGTTATGGAGGGAGTTGTCAGTGTGGTTGTGGTGCACATGGACATGGACCAAGGTGGACAACCTGGAGCGAGCCAGCGCCAGTGCCGCTGCCCGTGGTGAATTGTATATGTCTGCCTTGGCCTAATGGTAGACCGAGGGAGCCGATTGTGGTGGTTAGGATTGAGGAGACTAGTACTACTTGGAAGAAGAAGACGAAGGAATGTGATAAGAAGAAGAAAAAGAAGGGTGGTGGTTGTGTGGTGATGTAAGGTCTGAAGGTTATCAGGAGATGTGTCTTCCCTGCTCAAATGGTTGCGAAGTATTGGAAGGAGTCAAGTACGATGCTTGTGATTACCTACAAAGGAAGGGATGAATCACAGACGAAAAATTAAGGATGGAAACCACGGAGGCATGTATATCCAACCCCGAATCTCATACCTGGGTGTTTATGACTCCACGATTGCTAACACCAAACTCATACCTAGGTACTTGTCACACGGACATATGCTACACTCCTGGTGGCATACGGGCATATGCCACACTGTCAAACGGGCATATGCCACACTCCTGGTGTCATACGAGAAAGACCTACATGTATGCAGATCGCTAGATGCCTTGGAGCCTCAGGTGACAAAGACCTGTACGTACTAGATAGGTACCGTTTCCCTTTGGCATAAGAAGGCCTTGAAGCCCAGCCTTCCTCTAGAGGTTGAAAGGACCAACAAGATCTTCGAGACCAAAGTAGTTTATCAGCGGAATTGAACTATTTGTTCCAAGCTCAGAAACCTGCCCTTGTCACAGTACTGCATTCAATGATCATCACCTTCACGCCTTTTGTCCCTACAACGAAGAATCGCTGCTCAGGATAAAACCTTTATAGAAGCAGAGGCATCACCTTGTGCTATGAGCGAAAGGAGGTATTTCGTTTCAAGAACACCATATACAAAATAGAATCAACAGCGGAGAGTTATGATTCGGTCACGGGAGCTTCAGGTTCATCCTCCCGACCGATGTTCATCATTCACCAGAGTTATCCGTCAGCTTTCATGTTTAGGTTCATGCGATCTCTAGTATGAGAAACCTTAGTAGAGATGCTGAGTGACAGATGGTATGCCCAGGTCCGGGCTGGTCAAGGTTCATACCTCTAGGTAATTTATCCCTGCCATCCGCTCTTGCGGGCATCGCCATTCACTATTCTACGGCAAGGTCGAGCTGCAGCTACCTTGGCTGCATTTGAAATGAACGAAAGGGGCTGCTCGAAAAAAAGCTGTGAAGGGTATGTGTGAGCGGGAACATGAAGTGAATGCCCGTGGAAGGAATATTGAACACCACCTATGCACTGCATCCAGGTCGATGCTGCCGCGCAGATTACTACACTTTGAACATTCACCTGGTGCATGCATACCTATTGTATAAATAAAGTTTCCTCATGTCCGCCAACATCATCTGTCTCTTCTTCCTCGAAATTCTTTTTGCACTCACAATCATTACACCTCTATATTATTCATGTTATTTTTCTCGTCTAACAACAATTACTCACCAATATTTGCGTCAAATCCAATCGCAAACAGTCCAAGCATCCAAGTATGACATACCCCATCCCCCCTTTTTCAAAACAAAAGTCGTTCAGCTCTTTTCACCTTGATCATTCCATCGACTACTTCAGTCCTGATTTACTCGCAAAATTTCCCTCAACGTCTTGCCCAACCTGTCGATACTGACTAACTCGCATCAGATATCGCCATAATGCCGCTTGTACTTGACATGATCTCCTCTCGACTCCCTTGGGAACTCGTCTGTAACATCGCCAGCTTCCTATCCACCCAGGAATTCCTGTCACTAGTCCTCGTCAACAAGGAGCACTACCGCGTCTTCCACGAGGAATTTGTGCGACAGAACATACCAGACGAAGCCGGCGCAGCACGGGACTGGGCCCTGCTTCAGATGTACTTCAACGCCCTCCGATATGACTCCGTCGACCTACTGAAGCAGTTTCTCACCATCGTCTACCGCGACGAGGCCAACGGACGCCCGCTGCTTTTCAAGCCTACGAGGTAAGTTAGTTTCCGTTGCAACTTGCCCGACGATTCCATCCCAGGTTCAACGTACTGTTGTCGGTCGGTGCAGTAACTAACCAGACGACCCCGTCCCAACAGGATAATCGGGAAGTCTCATCACTTCAGGGCGTTCAATCACACACCATACCGCGAGACTCTGCCATTCCTCCGCGAACCAGCACCTCTCGACGAGCAACCATGTAATCACTTGCAGTTTTGGCTGGCCAAGCGATTCACATACATCGGCCTCGCCGTCCAGGCCGACGCACCCAGAATTCTTGTTCACCTGTACAAACTCCCGGGCACGGACATTAAGATACTCCAATCCCATCACTTGCCGAAAGGCCACTCCTATCAGTGGGGCCATTGCATCTCGACCATAGCCAAAGCCCTGTCCAACCCCGACGCGCGGCAATGTGTCAAAGATGAAGCTTTGTATTTCGCAGCCAAGGCCGCCTTTCCGCGCACAACTGTGCTTCTCCTGGCCAGAGGAGCCAACCCCAACAGCCGCTGCCTCCCACGTCCCCGTGTGCATGGACAAGAAGCAGCCACGGAAGAAGAAGAACTGGCCGCCGCCGCCGTCGTCATCGGGGGAACCACGCCCATCCAAGAGGTCCAGTTTCACCCCATGCACCTTGAAGAAGGCGAGGATCTCTCCGAGAACTACGTCATACACCGGTGTCCCTGGCGCAACCACATATACGCCGTTCAGCTGGTCGTCTTCCCCAAAAGTGACGCCGGATACTTCCCTCTCGTCACGGGTTGTGATCTGCCCCGTACAAGGCCGGTAATGGGACCTGCCGGTCCCCACGATCAGAGCAGTGTAATACCCAGCGGGATGTGCTTGCACAGTACCTTTGTAGGTCTTGGGGTTGAGGAGATCAGCAGGAGACCGAGGCGCGTGTTCCGTGCATATCGGCCGCTCCATACGCTGCTCGCTTTAATGTTGGCGGGCGGGCACATGGGGCCTATTGAGCCGTCATGGGACGGAATTAACGACCACACCCACGAGCAGGCGTGCGAACTCAATCAGCCAGGCCCGTCCGTGGTGCATGGGATTCCCGCGCCGAATGAGGTTTTCTGGTGAGACGGCAATATGTGAAGCTGTAGTTTGGAAGAACCAATACAGGAGAAGGGCAGTCTGAGGCATATACAGCCAAATGGGCGCTTAGAATAGTCGAGAGAGGGGAGGTAACATCCATTGTCGATAACTGTCAACGAGGCATGCCTGGAGGTGCTGTATTAGAGTATATGCTCCACTGGCAGGCATGATTCTAACAATTTGGGTAGACAGACAGAGGTACCAGGCGACATTCTTGACGCTCCAAGTCATTAGAAGTAGAAGCGTTTCCAACCATACTACGATGGTATTTAATAACCCGCTTACTTCGACTGTTCAATTGGCTCGTCGCGAACCATTCAATGGGCACAACCACCGCCATTTGCACCACCAACCATACAACAAAGAGCCTGGTCAAGAATATGTGCTCAAGCCAAGTGATACGACGACCTAGTTCCATCTGCCACTTTTCCTGGATCAAGAGGCAACTAGGCCAGACCGAGCTCAGAGACCAATATTGAAACTGCATTCCATAGTTTGGACAGAGCTCGTTGACTTCGAGGAAGGACTCCCGAGATTGGACACCCTCTGACGACTGTGGCTCACCGCAATTCGGACACCCCCAACGACCCAAGACAAATCCAGGGGCAGTTGCCAGTGTAGAATTAGATGTGTTGAGCAAGTGGAATAAGTAGAGATGAAACGTTAACGTGAACTGTCGAACTTTGCCATTGACTGGGACAGACATGAAATACAATGGCTGTGATGTTCGAATCTGATGATCATAATACTTGTCGAGCAGTGAAACGGCTCATTCACTCAAAGACAGGACGGCCTCGAGGTCCATGGCCTTGTTCCGACGCGGGAACGTAGAAATGCACTTGTTTGTGTCAAACATGTCTATGCTTACGGCACGTACTGTTCCAGTTCTTCCTCGACCACCTGTGCTTTGTTTCCTCTCCAGAATGGTAAGGGATGTGAACAATAGATCATCCAGAACTTCTTCCAAGTCAATAGCAAATACCCTTCGACATCTGATGGTCGTCGATTTCCAAGCAGGACACTATCCCGTGGCGTAGCGACGAGCGATGGGAAACGGCGAGACGAGAAGATATTCTTTGCCAGAGACAACGAAACAGGAAGATAAAACAAGATTCGAAAGAAAATAAACAAACACTCGCACCAAACTTGACACTCGTCGAACGTTGTCTTCTGTCTTGGCAAACTTTCGTTTTTCTCTGAAATTCTGGGGAATGCCTGCGACCATCATCATCATGGACCACTGGACCAGACCCTGACGATCGGGTTTATTTCGACTTCACCTCCCGAGCGTCTGACCCTCCACAACAACTTCATGAATCCCCCTTGCTTTGCAACTTTGCATGTGATTGCACTGCCCGCCCGGCGCCCACACGAAGTCAAGATGGCCGAGATTGCGGGATTACCTCCCTAACCTAACTTCGACTCCTTCGAGAGATAAGAGTCGCCTGTAAGACATAGTGTTAGCATGGTCTGTTAGTGCTAACGCTGGAACCCCTGTCTGATACGGAGCCCATGCTGATTACGGGGCTCGGCGCCGAGTGCTGAACGCGGGGGTGCGGTGCTGCCCCTGGCTCCTGTTAGGACGGCCTTTGTAAGCGTTGTTAGTGCTGTCAGCGCTGTGTTGGTGCCCCTGTCGAGCCTGGTGCCTCGCTCGCGTGGAATGCCTGGAAGGGATTTCGTGGGGTTGCCGTGATGGCGTCTTTGCTTCTTTTCCATGTTTGGAGTTTCAGCCCGATGACGAGCAGCCGATGGCGATTGAGAGAGGGACCCTCTCTATCTTCCTGTTCTCAGGTTGTTCCTTGCTGCTTCGGTTGGGAAATTTCTCTGGAAAGATTCTTATCTTCGGTCGTGGTTGTCGTCCTCGGGCCTTCTTTTGGCACCAAAGCCGTGCGTCTTGAAGACCTTGAAGATTTGGTGAAATTGTGGTGAACTGGAGGTTCGAGGGAAGAAGTGGGAGATTCCAGAAACCGCCAAAGTCTGGAATCAGAAGGGAACACAGGAAAAAGTATTGGGTGGATAACGCCTGCACACAACGGACTTGTGCACATTGTGAGGAAGTCGCGACGGATGTGGGAATTGAGATACTTCCTTTGCCAGCCGGCGACGATCCGGCACTCGGCAAAACGTGTGCTGTGTTGCCTGCCAAGAGCCGGTCCTCTGAACCTCTTGAAGGTCTGAGCGCTACAATTGAACTTCCGCAACCACACACTGCTCTTCGAAATAATAAAAAGGACCACGTCAAGGCGTAACGTCGGCCGTTTTATTCGCGTCCGAACGGACGGTACGAGCTTCAATCTCATCTGCCCATACCCTCATATCAGGTACGGTACGACATTACCTGTGTACTTGAACCTCTGGAACCGAACAACGGCCAGGCCGCAGCCACAGCGCAGCAAAAGCAACAACGGCAAAGGCGTTCCGACTGGACCCGAACCACGAACCATCCAAAATCCAGACACTTTCTGTGTGTGGTAAAGGTCATCTAAAACGCAGGGGCAGGTAGCATTGTTTATATTTCCATGTGAGACCGACCTGGAACTCTGGAACCACACTGCATTGTGGTCCGCAATATGGGGAGTTGTTGCCGGAGTGCATGACGGACTACATATGCCTGTCGTGATCCAGGACAGGGACTTCAAAGTTTGGTTCATGTCAGGAACCAAAATCCAGAAGCACCAAATGGAACAAAAAATACGACCGTATCATGTTTTTTTATTCCTTTCCCCCAAGAGGAAGATCCAAGTGGATAGGAGGGGCTTGTCACGCTGCTCATGGAACACCCCGAGGTACATCACGAAGGAAGGAGCTTTGTTGCAACCATTCAGATGTCAGCATGGGTGGACTGGACTCCATACCATGACGGGGGCTTGGCGCCGGTCCGATGCTACGATGCTACTCTCGACTGCAGGATAGACCAGTAGGGAAATGGCTAGGGAATATCGGGTTAGACGGTGTCTAGCCAGTCACAGGCCGCAGCAGGCCAGCAGCAGCGAACACTGCAAGAGAAGACCAGGAAAGACACAAGTGACAAGACTCGTTCGACCCAAGCTCCCAAGCCGTCTTTCGGTAACTCGGGTTGGACAGCCCTTTCTGGATGAATGATGAGCATTGCCCGCAGAATGTGTCTTTGAATGGTACCGGCGCTGGTTAAGGGGCCAATCAGTTTGACTTCTGAGGTCTTATGGAAATCTATACCCCGGCTTTATTCTCGAACCACCATCGACGATGAAATGCAACTCTCTCTTTGGAGGCGAAAGTGTTCCCTTCTCCTCCCGATCCTGATCCTCATCAACACTTCCAGCCAGTCCAGTCAGACAACCATGGTCTTTCATCTTCGGTTTACTGGGCCTCGTCTTCTGGCTCACTCTTTGTGAGCATCGACAACTTAACTTACACGGCGTGATACACACCATCACATTCCATACCAGCTGGTTGACAAACTTTTGTCTTTTTCTTTCTTTACCTACCTACATACTAGAGTACCTTACCCAAGCTTGGCCAGACAGACACTCCTTCACTATCACCAAACTACCACTACCATCATCCGACAGGATCAATACAATCACACATTTACTCACTCGCTCATCAACGAGGGCTAGTCCCAGTGACTATGCCATAACCAACTTACACACATCAAAAACAACCACAGAGACAAACAAACAATGTCTCTCTACACGGATCCACCGGCCTTAAAGCCGTTCAGCGACGACAAACCCATCCTGCTCGTGAGCTGGTGGCTCACCCTCTTCTGCACCGCCGTCATCATCCTGCGAGTGATCGGGCGCTACGTGCGCATGGAGAAGCTTTTTCTCGAGGACAAAATCGCGGGCCCTCGCCCTGATTCCCATGTACCTCCGCATCGCCTGTGTGCATGTGGTTCTTGTGTACGGCACCAACAACGTCCAGCTCGTGAACGAAGAGGGACTGCATCTCTCTCAGCAATCGTTGGATAGAAGGGTGGTGGGGAGTAGGCTTGTTTTGGCTACGAGGTTTTTTTACTTTACTACGTTAGTCTCTCTTTTTCCTTTTTTCCTCAGTATTCCTAACTTCCATTCGAAAGACTGGAGCTGGAAGCTAACAGTGTTAACGACAAATAGACTATGGACCCTCAAAACCATCACCCTCCTCTTCTTCAACCGCCTCGTCGGCACCGCCGGCAAATCCAAATACAACCTAACCTTACGCTTCCTGCAAATCACCATCGGCTGCACCTTCCTCGCCTGCTTCATCAGCAACCTCTCCGAATGCTTTCCCGTCACGCACTACTGGCAAGTCACGCCCGACCCAGGCGGACAATGCCGGCAATCCTATGCGCACCTGTTGGTGGTAGCAGCCTGCAGTATCCTCACTGATTTATTACTCGTCGTCTTCCCGATCCCGATCCTGATCCAATCGCGCATCAAGCTCAGGCGCAAAGTCCTGCTTGTCTCCCTCTTTTGCCTAGGCTTGTGCACAATCGCCATCACGCTTTATCGGGTTCCCAATATTTTGGAAGAAAAAGGGTACCAAGGCACGCGAACGATGTGGGCGAGCGTGGAGATTTTGGTGGCTACGTTTGTCAATAATGCCATTGCGCTGGGCACGTTTGTGCGCGATACGGGGCCGAAGAAGAAGAAGTTCAGGCAGTATATTTCTCCCGCGGACGCTTATGCGCGGGATAAGAAGGGCACTGGTGGCGGTGGTGGTGGTTCATTCAAACCTGGCGGTACCACAACACTAAACTCGATTGCCGAGAGGACGGTCAATGATAAGCGTGGAAGTATGATGATGATGGGTGTAAGTGCCGCTCAGGGAAGCGATAACAAGGCGGGAATTATCATCAGGACGGATACTGTGGGCAGTAACGGGACGATTGCTAGTACAACGCCTACTCACGGCGGAAACCACCAGGAAGAACTGGCGCGCGATAGTGTGGCTTCTAGCAACGGCCATTTACCGGGGGCAGAACACAAGCCCAGGGAAAGGGACTCTCAAGAGTCACTTATTCCCAAGCCTGGACACGGAGGTATCGGGGAGGCCATGTACTTTGGGACGGTCATGAAGACGACGGAGATCAGCGTCACGGTCACGGACGCCAATGAGGAGGACTTGAGGGCGCAGCTTGATGGTGGACGGGTACCGCAGAGTCCGTACGGTATCTCTAGCCATCATCATAATCAAATTAGAGAGGCGCCGAGGGTCGTGGCGGCTGGAGACAGGGGAGTACAGAGGGGGACGACCAAGTTGTTGAGAAGTTTGCCGGGGAAGGAGGAGGATGTTTGATTGACGACGGTGATGGTGATGACGAGGCATGTATATGATGAAGGATGAAGGATGATGGCGGATTTAATTGAATACCTACCTACCTTCTTTTTATTTTTTCTTCTGCCATCTAGTTTTGGTTATCAACAGTGTGTAAACAAGCGGCTTCATTGCATCTGTTTTTTTCATGCTCTTCCCTTGCTTTTCACGATGACATGATTGTGTGTGAGATGATTACTTCAAGTGCAGTCAGCAGTGCCATACTTGGGTAATGCAAGCCGACATTCGACGAGCACTGATACTCTCCCATCGCCCTCGTCTAAACCTGCCCCCAATCCACCTGTCACTCGACATCCCCTCGCACTCAAACTGCCAAACTTGCTTTAACCACTCGGTACGACAACGCTTTGACTTCAGGAGGGAAGGCATTGCCGACAGCCAGGTGCCAATTTCAATGCAAACGGAAGTGACGGCGGAACAAAGGCAACATAACATAAGTGAAAGGCAACATGAAATGGAGGGAGAGGCAACCGTCCCTGTCGTCGTAGTACCAAACCCGCAAACCGTTGTGGTACCAAACCGCCCGCGCTCGTGGTTAACCATGGTACGGTTCCGGCGTAGCGTTACGGCGTATGCTTGGCTTGCAGTCATGTAATACCGGATGAATGCCCATGGAAGGGAAAGAAGGGGAATAACTGCTTACTGTATGTCCTCAGCTGTAGAAGCTGGGTGGGTTGTAGAGCGTAGAGAGACCGAGGCCGACTACTTACCGAATCCAGTTCCATCGAAATCTCCCCATGGTGAGATTGTTGCTCGGACATTTTTGTGGCGTGGCTTCTTCGCTTCGCCGGTAATGTTTAAAGATCAGGTATCGTGAGTCTTGGTGTTGGCTTCTTGGGCGTTGGTGGTTACAAGGACCAGGCCATCCATTGTCTTGGAGGCTTTCTAGGGAGAAACAGACGAGACGAAGAGACGTGGTTGTGTTGATGCCAAGGTCTTGGTTGGTGATTGTGCGCTCCTCTCGGCCCAAGGGCATCGTCATGGCGAACGAACCTCGTAGTGTACTAGGTAGCCCAGAGGTTGCTTCCCGTTATCGGCATCACTAGTAAGGCACCCCTCGTGGCAATGGGTCCGAGTCCGTGTCCTTCGGCCCCGTTCTTCGGTCGGACCTTTCAAAGCTCAATCTGCCGGATTTCAGATAGTAAGATAGGAACAAAGAGTGAGAAAGAAAACGACGCCAAAAAGGTGACGAAGCTGACGTGCTCACGATAGTCGGGGTAGCGCTTGTAGTTTTGTCGAATGGGCGTTGATAAAGAGCCCCCGGGGGACTCTGGACGCCGACAAGCTCGGAGTGCCACAGGGTTCGGGGGTTTATCATCCCCCACTGATTTTCCCACAGTGCAACCACAGCGATTTGCACTCGCACTTGCATTCATGATGGAATCCACTCACCATCTACAGATTGCCATTGCCCCCCAACTGAGACAATTCAAAGTGAGAGATATAAGCTCGAGGAGAAGTCATTGGCTCTTTTCTTGTTGAATGATGGGCATTAAGGGTGGTGATGGGACGATGGTTTCGAACAACTGGAATCTTTTAGGATCCATTTCTGCCATTGAGAGAAGAACACTCGAGTGGCTTGGCGGCGTTCATCAAACACGGCAGGTGCAATGAACACATGCGATGATGTAAATCGCCAAATGCGCCATCCCGTGCAGAATGTTCTTGCCTGCGTCTTTTGGAATGGCGTCGTTTAAGGTATGTCCAATTTCATTGCCAACCTTCCACCCGCCCATCTGATCGTGAAGAAAATGAATCAACGAGGGGCAAGCTGATGCCTAGCCATAAGATATGCACTGGGTAAGTTTCCGTTGTAGTGTGATGAAAGAGACCTGCCAAACATCACAGGCACGCAGGTCAGACATGATGCATAGTGGAAACATCTCGAGGCCCTTCATCATCGTTCCTGTCGGTCGATGTGAAAGAAGAATGAAACTCAAAGCGGGAAGGTCCCTTCTGTGACAGGAGTCTTTCAAAGCCTCAAATCAAGGGCCATTGTGTGACAATACGACATGTGACATTGTGGTTGTACCTTTTGTTAAAGGTGAGAGTGGAGACCGTCATCTGCTCCTGGCGCCAATCACGTGGGGCCAGGGCGTTGAGTGTGGATCCATTTTTGCGAGCTTTGGCCGAGGTCGGGGATGTGGTGTTGGGGAGAGATCAAATTCGATTTCGAACAAGGGGGCGGAATTGCTCCTTCACCTTCAGTTTTCTACCGCAGCCAGCAGTGCAACTTTGGCAATTGAGAACGCGGGTTTGTGGGGGATTCCATTTCAGTGTGGAATTTTTTGGGGATTTCCAGTGATTTCCTTTTTTCCCAAATTGCACTTCAGTTTTGCCATTCGCCCGGCCGTCCGTCTTTTACATCAGGTCACTTCCTTCACTGGTTCCGTCCATCGGCTGTGTCGGCTTCCTCTTGTCCAAGGAGCGAGAACCAAAGATTGGACAACATTTAGCGGCCCGTGATCCTGCCGTGCCGCGCCGCAGAAGTTTATTCATCAAAGACTGGATACACGCACACACACACCCAAGCCCTATATTCAGGGGCAATAGACGTCTGACGGAACATTGGCGAGGAGGAGGTGTGCCAGTGAGAGGAGGACTTGCAGCTCGCTTCATCAGACCGGCCTTCTGGGCAATTGCTAGCATTGTGGAAGCTCCCGTGGAAGAGTGTCAAGAGGTTCAGCCAACCGCGTGGCAGCGATAAAACAGCCCAGGCTAATAAATAACACATGCAGAAATCATCCCAGTCATCCAAGCTAAACTAGACTGCCCCCTCCCAGTCCTGTCTCCAGTGACGCACAGCAGGGGGACCAGGTCAGACTCGAGAAGGAGGGGAACCTAGAATCCCCCAAGACTCTCAAGACACTCCGAGTTCAAGACCAGACCAGGGTCAGCTCGGTGTCTCTTTCAGTTACAACCGGATATACGCAACGGAACATACAAAGTTCCTATCACAACAACTCGTCCTCTCTTTGTTTTCACTTGTCTGTCTCTGTTGATTGCGAGGCAAACACCAAAACGAGAGAAGATTCTTTTCTTCTCAAAGGGTCGGACAAGGTAAACCACCGACGGGGGCCACATCCGAGTTCATCGTCCCATTGCCATCAGCACTACCTACCTGCTTATATAACCACTCTGCATATACTACATTTCAAACAGCATCCGACACCCTCCTACAATACCTTAAGAGGTACATTTCACGAGAAAAAGTCATCCATCCGATCCCGTCAGTTCGGTCCACCCCTGGAGACAGGAACCAGACCCTTTTGGGCGGCCCAGACCGGAACGAAGCACGAAAATTACTTTGCAATCCGTCCCGCCGTCCCACCACCCTACACGGTAGAGGTAGTACTACACTAGGACAACAGGGACCCTTCGCTCTCCCTCCGTTGTTCCGTCTTCCTTTCGATCAGTCGATTGTGCTTCTTCGGTCAAGCCTGCATTCATAGCTAGAGCTTGCATAGGCACCTTCGACCCCTTCCTATACTACTAGTAACCCTGCTCGTTCATCAGGTTCCAGCCTGCGGTGAACAAGTGTGGTTCACGTAGCGTATCATACCAAGAGATATCTCACTCCTTTGATATCGACTGGTCTTTTCTTCATCGCCAGCAACTTCAGACTTGACACCCTCTCTCACAACAGATACCACACTCATACACACTCCTTATGAAGGAAACCCTCACGCCATCAGTGTCAATGTAACCAGCAAATCCACACCCATCTTCTTCCAAACATGACAGGATTCGATCAGGACATCGAGCTCAACGCTTACTCACACTCTCACGGGCTCGGAATCAGTGGCAATGGCGGCGGTGGTCGACAACACAGCATAGCTGAAGGAAGCAGCTTCACCGTCGGCGGCATCTCCCCATCTTCCCGGGCCAAGTCCTTTGCTGATGCCTCACCTGGCGGCAGCCATGCCCGCTCAAAATCTATGAGTGGTGGCGGTGGGGGAGGTGGCTTTCAAGGCAGGATGAGCCGCTTCGTGGACTCGTTCCGCCGCGGCGACGGCACCATCAACGACAATGCCGACCTTGACGACGACAACAATACCAGCTCACATGGGTATTCTTCCCACAGTGTCTCGCGCGACCACGGCGGCACGCGATACTATGACCTGCGCCAGGGCAACAGCAAAGTCAACACGCCCAGCTCGCTGCTGGCTAGAGAGCTCAAGGGCCGACATCTGCAAATGATTGCCATTGGAGGTTCTATCGGCACTGGATTGTTCGTTGCTTCCGGCAAGGCGTTGAGTGAAGGCGGCCCGGCGAGTGTGTTGATTGCGTATCTCGTGATTGGGGTCATGCTGTTTTGCACGATACAGGCGTTGGGCGAGTTGGCGGTTATCTTTCCCGTGGCCGGATCTTTCTCGGCCTTCTCGACGAGGTTTCTGGATCCAAGTTGGGGATTCGCTATGGGATGGAAGTAAGTCTTGCACCTTTCGAGTCTGTGATAAGGGAAAAAGGAAGACTGGCTGACATTCTCCTTCTAGCTACGCTCTGCAGTGGATCGTGGTGTTACCACTCGAGGTATTAGCAGGCGCCATGACGATAGGGTACTGGAATAAGGAGCTTAACAAGGCCATCTTTGTGACTATGTTCTTGGTCGTCATTTTCATCATCAACCTCTTTGGCGCAAAAGGATACGGCGAGGCAGAGTTCATCTTTGCCATCGTCAAGGTCACCGCTGTAGTAGGATTCATGTAAGTTTTCATCCATCTTCCTATTTACCCGACCCATGAAGCCCCTCAATGCCCTTAACCCAGGACACGACCAATCTAACATCCCCCAAGCCTTCTAGGTATCGTCATCAATATTGGTGGCACACCCACCGAAGGCTACATCGGCGGCAAATACTGGACCGATCCCGGCGCTTTCCACAATGGATTCAAAGGTCTCTGCTCCGTCTTCGTCACCGCCGCCTTCGCCTTTGCCGGTACCGAGCTCGTCGGCCTGGCAGCCGCCGAGACCGCCAACCCACGTAAATCCTTACCTACCGCTATTAAACAAGTCTTCTGGCGTATTTCACTCTTCTATATCGTCAGCATGACACTCGTCGGTCTTCTGGTTCCTTACAACGAACCTCGTCTCCTCTCCGCCCAAAACGTCGCCGATGCATCCGCTTCACCCTTCGTCATCGCCATCGAAGCCGCCGGCGCCACCGTTCTTCCGTCCATTATGAACGGCGTCATTCTCATCTCCGTCATCTCAGTCGGTAACTCGGCCGTCTACGGTTCCTCGCGCACCTTGGCTGCCCTGGCTGAACTAGGCCAAGCCCCTTCCATCCTCGGCTACGTCGACCGCCGCGGCCGTCCAGTCGTGGCCATCATCGTCACCATGGCCGTCGGCCTGCTCGCTTACTTGGCGGATGTCCCTTCGCAAAGCAACATCTTTGACTGGCTCCTCGCCATCTCCGGGCTATCGTCAATCTTCACCTGGGCATCCACCTGCCTCGCTCACATCCGTCTGCGCAAAGCATGGGCGTACAACCATCGTTCGGTGCAAGATATTGCCTTCCGCGCCCAAGGCGGGGTTATTGGTTCCTGGATCGGCTTTTTGCTGAACGTCCTGGTCCTGGTGCTGCAAGTCTGGGTAGCCATCGACCCCATCGACGAAGGCGAAACGAAGATGACGGTCAAGGAGAGGGTGAGCAGTTTCTTTTTGAGCTGCTTGGCAATTCCGGTGGTGTTGACGTTTACCATTGGTCATAAGCTGTATTATAAGACGAGGATGGTGAGGCTCGAGGACATGGATGTTGATACAGGACGGAGAGATTTTGGACGGTTGGGCATCATTAAGGCGCAGGAGAAGGAGGAGAGGATGGGGTGGCCTAGGTGGAAGAGGGTTTATCGGTTTATGTGCTGATGTCTCATTTGTCAAAATAAGGAAGGGCAGAGCAGGGCGGGGGGAGAGGAGGATGCCCCAAGGGACTGGAGGATAACTGCAAGATGCATTTGGAGGTGCGCTTGTGGAGCAGAGTCCGCTCATGTGAGGGAATTGGATTAAACAGGAACTCGATGTTTGGATATCATCGAAAAAGGAGATGCAAGTACATAGATGTAATAGTAATCAAACGCATTGAAGAACGAAGGAGCCAGTCGGATTGACTGACTGTTCATTGTGATGGTCCCCCGCTGTGACGAAGCACCACCGACTCCGACTCACTACCTAGGTGTCTAGTAGGCATCCGATGTCGATCACGGTATAAGACCATGCATGCCTTCGCTGTTGAACCCCAAGGGAGATCGATATCCGACTTCACTATCAAACAGCAACTTTTACTTCCGTGCACTCGTCGTCCGTGGATGGAAATTTCACGAATCTCCCACCATCTAGAATAGGTATCGGCAACCAATTCCCAATTCCCAATCACATGGATATGTCCACCGTGACATTCCCATATAGTACCTTTTCCCAGACATCTGCTACACAATACTACCTTACATTGGGAGCCCAACACTCAAACAGAGAAAAACGTAAGTTCATTCGATGCATATGGAAATGGGAATGGACATGAGAACGGAACTTGCAGTGCAAAGACTTGACGGCAAAATTTTTTCCAAGACATTTCACTGAGGCCTGCGTGCGTAGCAAGCGAGAAAGGCAGAAAAAAAGGGCAGGAGCGATCATGACTGGCGATGATCAGGAGGAAGGAATCTACTAATGGCTGGGAAATGAAAAAAAAAAAAAAAAGTGAAACCACGAACGACTGGACGGACTGTGTGCAGGACTTCCATTGATTTTGTCCCAAATGTCCGCGCGGGCGAGGAACTTATTAAAAAGGGGGGGGCTGCGGGGGAAGGGGCAATCATGGTCATCATGAACCATCATCGAACAAGCGGCAGGATGAAGGCTAAAGAATGGGGATCGGGAAAAGGAAAGAAAAACAGAAGAAAAACAGAGAAAAAAAAA